CAACTTATGTAACATGTGTAAACTGTAACAACCACTGGAAGTTCTGCTAATCTGATCTTAGGTAGGACTGCTCTTCTGTAGAACAGGCATGGAGCTGGTTATCTGGGAAGCTCCTGTTTATAACTGAGTCATCATTTCAGTTTGTTGTCTTAGGTATTTGGTAGTGTATTTCATTCATTTCCATTTCTGTAGCCTGCAGGAACATTTTATTTTGAGGTCTGTCCGGGCTTCTGGTCTTGTCAATTGATGACTTTAGCCGGACCTGAGATTGGAACATTCTGGTTAACTCAACTTACTATTTTAGTGTAATTTTATTTGCTGTTTTACAATTGAAGCTTTTCTTCCTTTTATTTACTTTTCTTTAAGGCCCAGACCTAGATGACATTATACAAGGATATGATGAAAGGCTGCCACTATATCCGTTCTTTGTTGACGCGCTAGTCCCCTCTTTTGCATCTGTTTTCCCTCACTGTTGCCTCCTTTTTCTGTTCACTTGCGAAGTTTTGCTGAATGTGCTCGTGGAGTTTTTTACGACAAGCCTGCTGGCAGTGCCATGCAGAGTCCCTTCCCAAGCAGTCTCAGATTTTATGACAGAACTGCGATAGTGTGAGATTTTAAAAACTTCCAGGAGCGTATAAAAAAGAGATATTTTCATAGTGCTCAAATCATTAATTATAAAGATTTATAGCAGATAACATAAAAACCAGGCAACATTGTCTCCTCTGCATGTACTTTCCCAGTCACATTCCTAATGTTTTTCCTTTTTTTTTTTAAGCTAATCCCGTGCCACTAACAGTAGCTGGAAAATTCTTCATCCATTTACCTATCTTTTGAAAAATTTCTTGATTGCTTTTTATGGGATTTGAAATGAGTTGCGCCATGCATGCAGTAGGCTATCATCACCATATTGGGGGTTTGCGATACAATAATTGCAGGCATGATAGGTGCAACTGCTGCTGCTAAAGCTTTTACAGGCAGACCATGAAACACAACAAGAGTCGCAACCAAAATATTTTGCTGGATAACTTTGAGTGCAATACCTGAAAAACCCTCAAGCTTTCCTAACAATTTTGTTAATCTGACTGCATAACAAGAAGCAGAAGCAAAAGCCTCACAATAAAACTTGCTGTCGTTGTTAGTAAGGTGAGCTGACAAATCATGAACCCTGAACACAGCCAAAATCATTTTTCCGTGTCATTCTCGATGTTCTTGAGATGAATTCCCTGAACATGCTTGCGTGCCGCGTTCCATAGCACTAGGATATCAACTATAAGAAAGGAATCGACAAGTGCAAACAACGCACACAGAGTTCAACTTATTATAGTATCTCGAGAAAAATAGATCATTAGAAATTTGATTTCCTTGTTACAATGCTTAAAGATGAGGTAGAAAATCCTGAACATTTCTGAACAGGACAGGGGAATCCCAGTCCATGCAGCATTTGTTATAATACATTAATAATGGCGCATAAGGATGAGTGACAGAAAATTTTTGCTTGCCACAACAATATGAGCAAATATTTCATAGGTGGCTTGTAGGCACAGGGCTACTTCTTAACCACAAATTGTTCTGTTTGGTTAGCACAATACATCAAGCTCAATACAACAAAATTATCTAGCATTGCAGGCGTCCGGCTAGTTTCTTCTTATTCTTGTATCTAGCTTAGCAAGCTCCATGAGAAGCAATTTCTTCAATTTAGTAAGATCATGCCGTCCTGGATGCAGTGGCCCAGCTGGAAACATAAATCAAGTTATATGAAACAACTCCATATTTTGTAGCAATTTCTTTGGAAGAAGGTCTCAATTTGAGAAATATCAAAGTGTAAGTTCTATGATGGTATCTTGAACATCATAAAGCAATTCTAAAACAGATACTAAGTGCAAGGTATTAAATTTCGTGTCAGTTAAATGTTTTTTGATTCTCTGAATGACAGGAGCAGGACTTGAAAAAAACTTCAATCCCCCTATTGTAAGAGAGTAATGATGAGCTAAGCACTCATTGCTCAAACAAGTACTAGCATGCATCCACACAAGCAAAATAGGTGAATTACCTTTTAGTTCCAAAGCTTTCTCTGCAACCTGAATATATTCAACACAGTTTTCACATATAGCCAATCTTGAATATGGGTTGTGAAAAGGAAGAAGGCATGTCTCCGTGGTCTGTAGAGCAAAAACTGCCTAGAATCCTGTTGCAAACCCAAGCCCCATGCCCAGATAGAATTCCTGGCTTATTTGCCCATCATTAGTGACATTTTTTGTGCCTTCACCGATCGATGAATGATGAGCTTGTTCTTCAGGAAACTTATTCAGAAGTTGTTGCCCACAAATTTGTGGATTCGCCATGAATGAGGTGTTATCAAAACTTTGGAGTTGAGTGTTCAAGGGAATTTTTCCTGACAAGTTGTTACGTGAGACATTTAGACGCCGGAGGAGATTCTAGTCCCAAGGCTGAAATAACAGAGTTGATTTGTAGACAAATCAAGAGATTCTAGTGATTTCAGCTGGCCAATGTTGGGAGGAATCATCCCTGTCTACTGGTTATGTGATAAATTTAGTCCGATCAAGTCTGGGAGGCTTGTAATTCTATCAGGGATTTCTCCACTCAAGTTATTGCATGAAAGATCAGGATGCTCTTTACTAGCCAAGAGTGTTTCCATATTCAAGCTCCTTTCCATTCAAAACAGCAATAATGCTGATATTCTAGTTCGAAATAAGCACCAACGTTACGAAAGCTGCTATGAGAAAAGGTGTTGAAGGCGCTCCCATAGTTTGCCACAGCAGAGAAATTACTCAAGCATATGTTGTTATAGGAAAGGTCAGGTCCAATATTAAAGGTAATCTAGATGGAAAAGGTTCAAAGGCATGGTTCCATGAAAGCGATGATCTTAGACGAAGAACAATCAACTGTGTAAGATTTTCTCCTATCCACGCTGACATTGTACCAGACGATCTATTCTGCTCAAGGTCTAGTTCCTTTCTTGTACAATTGGTTAAGGAAGGAGGTAATTCTCCAGGTAAGTTGTTTTCCTTAATTCAAAAGTTTGAAGGTAACCTAGTGACCCAAGGGAGGCAGGGATTCTCCCAGAAAAGTTACTGTTTCTCAAATTTAGGATGCCTCATTGCTCCAACAACATCCAGCAATCAGGAAGTCGTCCTGATAGAACATTATCAGAAAGGTCTCTAAATAATATGCCTTTTCAACTCCTCTTGGACATAAGATGGATACTGAAGGTACATGACCTCATTGTTAAGGATTCAATCAGGAAAGGTGAAACCCAACTCGAGCTCAAGGTCAAGTTGAATGAATTGAAAGAAACATCCAGCTCCTTTAACCTGACTAGGTTTGAAAAGTGGATCACTGAGATTACACCAGTCATGAAATTGCATGATAGATTCAATACTTCAAGATTGGAAAGTAGCCCAATTCGTTGTGTTAAACTCCAGTTTAGTTTATTATATCCAAGTTCTAACTGTCTCATCAAAGAACAATTCAGTAGATTGGACAGACCTCCTGTTAGTCTGTTAGAATACAAATATAGATGATCCAAACTATAAAGATTCCCCGAACCTCTCGGAATGTCACCTTCAAGGTCATTCAGAGAAAGATCAAGATGTTTAAGAGAATCCATTGCTATAAATCCATCTGGAATTGGACCCTGTAAGTAGTTCCATTGCTAGAAATCCATCTGGATTTGGACCTTGCAAGTAGTTCTCACAAAGATCAAGATATTCAATACTATTGTTAAGGTTAGACAAACATTGGAAGATGGAAGACTGTTGATAGAAAGATCAATGTCTGCAAGTGAAGCAGAGGTGTGATTGGCATGGTAAGGGGTTGAAGGAGGAACAACCAGAGAGAGTTGACAATAACTTAAATGCAAGCTGAGCGGAGAAGGAATGCAATTAATTGCTTGGAACCAATCTACTGCCTGACTGAGATTTGAACTGCTTATATCAAGATGCTTCAAAGAAGGAAGATAAGAAAGCCTCATAAGACTTTCAGCTTCGAGAAAGTCGGTGTAGCTGAGATCTAGGAAAACCAACCTGGAGAGATTTTCCAACTGACGAGGAATAGCTCCTTTAAATGCACAGTGGGACAACCTTAGATACCTCAAATTTTGTAGTGAACCAATGAGCTCGAGGTTGAAGGTTCCCAAAATTATACCCAGGTCTAGGAACCTCAAATGTTGCAGCTCTAGTAATGAAGAGTCTATCTGCCCTCAATTGTTGACGTAGACCTTGGCAAGAGTCTTGTGATGAACGGAAAATAGAAAAAGAAGAATTACGGTGAAAATGATTCAAGTTAATGTTGGGCACAAACCAGTTGGACCTATTTATCTTGACAAGAAAGAGTGTTGAGAGAAAAAATCCCATCAACAAAACCTTATTGATGGATTTTAGTAGGATATGAGTTCTGTAATTTATCACATAAAAATTTCGATGGTTGACACTGGTTGCAGATCAATCTGCCTTGGTGTTTCATCTCTTTTGAAGCTTTGCCATTTTTTATTATCGTGACAATGAGTCGCATTCATGTCACAGATTGACTTGATACCTCCATGGAAGAGTTTGATGGAATACTGAGAAGTGGCATTAATGCAAAGCATCTTTTGGTTAGTAAAAGTTTCACACTGCCTGGTTATTACTTCCACCGTGCCCATGTCTTGTGACAAAATCATGCACAGTTGCGAGTGAATGCCAGTGTACAAGTCCTGGCTTCAACACTGCCTTCTCCACTTTCTTTTGTAGAATTTAGTGTGTTTTTGCTGCTGAAATCCGTAGATTTTCTACAGAATTGCAAAATTCAGTATCCCAGATGCCTAATTTCGTGTCTGTTTTCACCACTGGTTGCTTCCGGATTAGGCAGCAACACCCCCTCACTAGGCAGCCTATATGATTCTTGTTTTTCAAAAAGAGAAAGAAAGAAGTTAAAGATGGCATGTCTCAATCCAGCAGTGTCGGGTCCCAATTTTGAACAGAAAAGGAAAAATAATGAAGCTCTAAAAGTCAAATATAGCGGCTAATCATGATTTCAGAATTCAAGATTCAAACTATTAACTACTATTTTTTCTTTTTCAAAACCATCTTCCAAATTCTACAGCGAAGCAGTGTAGAAGAGAAAGAACAGAAAACAAGATAGAATCCACAAAACCAAAACCCACAAATCAAAACACAATTACAGTCGAGAAAAATCCTCACTTCACAGCAACAAATTGAGATGAAACAGAATTTGCTGAACCACAACTTGAACTTGGACTCTGCATTGCATTGTCTCCCACTGATTCCTCCAATTCCTCTGTTTCCTTTTCAAGAGGTTGCGCTTCACTCATCTTCTTTTCATGTTCCTTCTCCCTCAGCGTTCGAATTGGTGAAATTCTCTGCTTCAAAATATAAACAAAACAATGAGATATATGTTCTAGTTACTCCATGGTATTTTCGTGTTTCACACTCATCAAGCAGAAGAACTTACCATAGAGTAGGAATGGAGTTCCTTCAATCTATAAAGTCTGTCAACTTCAATCTCTAGCCTCTTCTGAACTTCCCCTCTCTGCTCCAGCTCCTTCTTTTGCAAATCAAGCACCATTGCCCTCTCTTCAAGCATCTTCTCTGTTCGCTCTTTGTCTGACCTCAACCTCTCTAGCTTCTTCTTGATGGCACTAAGTTCTTCTGCCAGAGAAGAATCCAATGGCTCAACGATGGGTTTTGTTGGGGTAGTGTTGTAGATAGGATGGTTCTCTTTGTTGGAGTCTTTAACAACTGAGAACTCAGTCCACTCTTGCTTTGGTTTCAAGATTTGAATCTGAGTCATTGGAGTTGCCGGCGAGTTCTTTGGTTGGAGTGGTTTCCGGCCAGATTTTGTCCGGAGGTCCTTGTCTCCGGTGAGTGGAGATTGGAGCTTAAGCATGGTTTTGCTGTTTTTTGTGTCAGATGAGAAAGATGTGTGTGAGAGAGGACAGGGTTCTGGTAAGAAGCAGAGACTGAGAGTAAAGCTTGGTTTGAATTTGAACGAAGACAGGCGCTAACGGCTCTTAATATTTATACATGTGGTTGGGGAGGGTCAGAGAGGCTCCTTGGTGGCTAGCCTCGATGCCCGTGTTTTAACGCGGAACCATTTTTTTTTTTTTTGCAAAATATAATATTTAGATACTGTAAATATGTTTATTTTTAAAAATGTGTGATTTGGGTTATAAATCATATTCCATGGAATAAAATGATTTTAGAACAATAAATTGATCCATTTTTTTAAGAAAATGATTAGGATAACTTGAGGAAAAATATTTTTTTTAAAGAGAACAAATAATATACATTTATAGCCCATTTAAAAATATAAAAGAATGAAATAAGATAAAAAAAACATAAAAAATCAATCCTAGTTAATTCATCCAAGATAACATGATAAATTTATAATCCCGATAATTAGAATCAAGACAACTCACAATATCCCTCCAAATTTGTAGTTCAGATAATGAAATTGAAATAGATTGATAAAAAACCAAAGAGCTTTACAAAGCTATTTAAAAAATAAAACTCATGTTAACTTTTCAAATATGTAACCCGAGTCATTAGACTTGAAGCATCTTATCTGAAAAAATTATGAAGTTTAATTTTAAATCAATCAAATATTAAAGGATGTGATTGCAATTAAAATACAAAATAAATTTTATATTTGATTGAATGATGAACTTGAAAAGAAAAATCAATTTAGTAAAAAAAACAACAAAATCAAAAAAATAAGATCAAAATAAACATAAATAATAAAAACAAGTGTTTTTTATCGAAGGATGAAACTGAAAAAAATAATAACTCTAATAAAAGGGTCAAGAAAAAAAAGTAAATATCAAAACAATGAATATCAAATTGGTAAACATAATACGATTAATTTAGATTGAAAGATTAAATTGAAAACTATTAAATTTTTTATAAAAGTACCAAGTAAAAAAAATAAAAATTACAAAAATATAATATTTGATAAATTAGATAAAAAAAATAAAATTGAAAACATATAAAACTTATACAAAAAAGCAAAGAATAAAAATTAAAAATATAAAGAATAAATATTGAAGTTAAAATATTAACAATAAAAAGAACCAAGCTATAATTTTAGAGGGATGAAAACAAAAAAGATTAATTGATGATAAACCAAACTACCATTACTGACATGTATCACACCACCAGAAAAAGAACACAACGACTCTTCCAATTAAATTGAGAAAAGACATTTTTAAATATCAAAATGCATTGTATATGCTATCTAAAATGCACGAGCATCTTTAATGCATCTCCGGTGCTTTACATGAACCTTTATGAAAAGATGAGAAAACCCTTTTAGGCTAGGTTTAAGTTTTTGACTTCCAAGAGTATTTTGTTCATTTTACTATGCTTTGAATTATTCTATTAATTTTTATATTTGACTAAATACAAAATTGTCCTTCATCTTATATGATAATAATAATAAAAATATTTTGAAAATACTAAATTTTTCTTTAATACCAATATTAAATTTTTTTTTGTTTGTTTTCCAGAGTATTTCTATTTTTTTATTGTGTTTGTAAAATGAGAAAAAAATATTCTTGCCCCTGATTAATTTAATAATAATTAATGCACTATATAAAAAGATCCTAATGCTCCAAAAACTAGGATGAAATTTTTTGGGCTAGAGGCCGAAGACAACATTAAACTATTTCGAAGCTTGCATCTAAAGCATTTTTCAATCCATGTTTAGCTTTTGTTAATTATAATATTTGATGTTGAGATTTAATGTGTATTTGTTATGACAGTAGCTTTTGCAGCTATAATTTGAAAAAATAAATTAAAAAAATCTATAAACTATAGCTTTTTTGTAACCAACATTACATTTTAAGAGAGATTTTTGAAGAAACTGTGATATATTAATTAATTAATCAAATATTTTCAAAACTATAAAGGTAACAAAACACATTTTCAAACTCATCTCACCACAGTACTAAATGAAACTCATAATAAACAAGGGTTTATTATAAAATGTTAATTAGATGAATAAAATAAACATTTACGTGTTGCATATGTATGATCGAAAATAATAAAATAGCGTATAAAATTTGAGATTTTTAATCTGAAAGACAACAATGTCTAATAATTTCAAGTGACGCCATAAAATAATTATTTTGTTGACTTGTTCATCTTAAGTGAAGAGGTCTATATTATCGAAGATCGCTTTTTTAAATAAAATATATTACAAAATTTTGCAATTCAAACCTTTTTTTTTATAATTTTGTTTCCAGCAAAAAAAAAAAAAGAAACAACTGATGATCTTATTGTGGCACAACCACTGGCATATCACCTTGTGTATTAATATACAGACCCTGGAGAAATCATATGGGAGTGTGGAAACCCACACTCTTTTAGATGATTGGGCTCTGTATGCTCTCCGAACCAGTAATACTCTCACGAGAGCCAGTGGCGTCTTGCAGACTAGCGTAGCAGTTGACGGGTCATATTGTAGAGATCAAAGCATGTACACTTCAAGTGAACTTCTGGAAATGAAACTGTTGGAAGCATATCAAAGGTATAATGCATGTTTTTTTACAAATAATTATATGTATACACACAGAAATACAACATAGCTCGAGCTTCAGGGACAAGTACTTGAACATGGTGGGCTGGTAGTCCATGAACTTTGCGAAAGAGAAAGAAAAGGAAAGAGACACGAGACTTGAGGAAATGCGCGGTGTGCCGGACGGCAATGGAGTGCATGTTTATACATGCTGAAATATCACAAGAAATCCACTAGAATTCCCAGTCATTTTCATATATATATATATATAACACTGTACTGGTAAAATTCTTAATTAAATTTGAATGCGATACAATAATCGAATATAAAGTTATAACTGTTTTTATGAGATTGTTTGTCTGATGCGTCCATACTTCTTCACGAGTTTTGTCTTATTTATCACATCCACAAACACATCCAAAAATGTTTCACGTCAGTACTGACCAACAATGGAGTATATACATGATGAGAGCAGCATCAAGAAACTGAGATATCACAAGTAATCCATTGGAAGTTCCCCAATCATCCTCACTTCTGTTTCTTTACATTTCTGAGTTCTTGATGACTGTAATTCAAAGTTCTCTCCTCTTCTTCTCCTTTTTCTTTAAACCCCAGTTCGCTAGGATTCTTGTTGGCTTTTGTGCTTGAAAATTTTAGCCTTCCATTTCTGTTGACGCTTAAGAAGTTAACAGTTGAATAAGGTGGTTGTCTTAATTTTCGAGGCTTGATGACAGAGAAGGGAGGAGGAGTAGAGGGAAGGGAATCATACATGGTGTTAAACTGGCTTAGGATGAGAGAGCTAGTGTTGCTGTCAAGAAGACTGCGCTAATATAGTTTTAGAGTTTATTCATTATCAATAAGTGATAACTCGTAGACGATAATTCTGTAATAATTTTGTAGGTGATTAAATAATAAACGATAACTTTATTGGCAATAATCTAGTAGGCTTGTAATTTCCTTTGCAATTAGTAGGCGAGTAATTTTAATTTTATAAATAAAAATATTAAAAAGATATTTCATTATTCAAAGGTTTCAATTCATAGATGTAATTAGAGTATAAATCACTATATAAATACAAGTATTTTTTTTCTAAGTTATTGAGTTAAGTTTACATTCAACTTATTTTAATTATTTAATCATTTTTTTAATTGAACTATTATTTATATGAAGTAAATTTAATCATATTAATATTCATGTAATTCTATAATATAAAATTGAAATTAAGTAAGTAGATCTAGAAATAAATCTAGAGTTCAAATTTGTTAACTTAAACATTTTATTCTTAAGTTGTAAAGTTATCTTAATCGAGACAAACACAAAATAACCTACATTAAATAATTGGCGACCAAAATGAGAGTGCCATATTTATTTCTTTAAATTTGAAGCACTAAAAAGATAAAAAATATCATAAATTTAGAATAAATAAAAGAACTGGTAGATGTCACTATTGAAGAAGGAAATAAAAAATCAATCTTTCTAGGGGTAATAGTAGAAAATGAAGATCTTTTCGAAGGGTGGAAGAAGACAATAAATATTTGAAGAGAGATTTTTCTACAAACTTATATTTTTAAAAATCAAGGATGAGATTTATGATATCCTAAAAAAATAAAATTCTAAAGAGGTATTAGTCCATATTGTTATATAGAGGTTATTAACTTACTACACAATCCAGAGCTTGAAGAATAAACATTGGATGCAAGACAAGGATTAGACATAAAAGAAATGGAGTGTGATCTAAGACCAAAATTATCTCTAGATATAAGAGAACAAAAATTAAAGGGTTTTAAATGAAAAAAATTCAAATCATCCCAAAAAAAATTGTTTAAAAAGTTGATATAAATATAGATAAAAAGATTAACGTTCCTTTAGTTGCCCATTAACTTCTAATTTGAAAAATAAATTAGTCATTAATGAGTTGTTTAAGGTGGGGGAATAAATATTATACACTAAAATTAATTAAAAAGTTATGAAGTGACCAAAAAGAACATGTCAAACTTGATTGCAGACCATATTTGATGAAGTCTAGACTTGAACATGGATGGTAAATGAAAGTTATAAAAAGCCTACTTGGTACAAAATTCATAAAACAAGAAATAAATAGGTAGTTACCTTGAACATGATGAGTAGATAGCTATTAGTAGTTATCTTGAATAAGGTGAGTGAATAGTTATTAGAAATCTTGAATTTTCTTATTTAAAAAAAGAGATAAAATAATTGTCGCACTTATGCAACGTTGTGGAGATCGTTCTTTTGGGTTGGGGTCTCTCTAGTTATGGAAAAAATAATAAGGAACTTGTTTCTTATCAGCAAGAAAATGGATAGAATCGTCACCTAGTATTTCGATCATATCTTAAAACCTAGATAAAGGAACTGATTGTATATAGGAAGGACGTATCATCCCTAACACATCTTACCTAAAGTAAAATACATTATTTATTTGTATGATATAAACTAGGACATTGTTGTGTATTCTAGCCGATGATTTTTCAAAGGTTTAAGAAAAGTAATCCTCAATAAGAAGGTCATTATCTTATGAAGTTAAAGTTTAGCTATTCTAGAGTCAAAATATATTTTTTTTGTTTTTTATTCTTTATATCAAGAATATGTTTTACCACAAATAAAATTATTTTTATCGATGCTATTTTAACCATGATATCAATTTAAAACAAATTATCTTTCATGAACTCAAAATCAAAAAAGGCCAAACATCCACACAAATCTTATTAATTTCATGAACTTCATTGAAATTTCATGCTAATTCAAATAAATCAATACATATCCAAACATAAATCATGAATCAATATTTAAAATCCAAAAAGCAATCACAATCCAAAAATAAACTCGTAATTCAACGTAAATTATTAAACTAAAAACACATATGAACTCAAATCAAATAATGTCAAGATAGTGTAAAAATATACACAATAATAAATAATTTTTCACAAATTTCACAGTGTTATAGTAATTTTTTTTTAAAAAAATTGAGTTTATAAATCAACCTTACGAAGTATTTGAGATGTCTAGGATGCACTAAAGTCAACACTAGAAGACCGCTGAAACAACGACACCATCATTATCGGCGTGTGGATTCTCACACTGCAGCTACTAGAGGAGCATGGGTTAGTGGATCTACTACTCTTTTGTCTTCTCTTTGCTCTTACACTAGGATGAAACAAACAAACATATGAGGAAGAAGATAGATTTACTTCATTGAAGGTTCAATCATTTCTCTCCTTTTCTTTTTTGGGTTAATTTCTTTAAATTCATCACTTTTACTTAAATTTATTAATTATTATGGAGGCTAAAAGAGAGGATTTCAATTGTGTAAAGACGATTGGTTTTTTTTTTGGTCATATGTATGAAAATTGATTTTGGATTGATTGTAGGGGTTGATGAGTTGAGAGAAATGAGATTTTAAAGAGGAAATCTATTGGGTCTTCGACTTAAAAATACTGTGATTTTAAACAATGTTTTTAGATTTTAATGCCAATAAGTAGGGGCTACTATGGACTAATGGGTGTTACCGTGTATAGGCTGAGAGTGGCTGTTAAGGTTTTTGATTAAAAAAATAATTATTGCTAGTAATGATAACTTGGTGTTAGCTGATAGCTATAGAGAAGGATGGTTTGTAAAGGCACTAGCATGGTGGGAGAAAATAAAGAAAAGAATATTGATAATAGTTACTGGGTGGAAGAAAGATAATGATTTTGCTGGTGGAGATATCTTTGGTGTATATGAAAGTCAAGAGTAGAGGGCTAATGTAGTTTGTTTGTTATTGGTGGCTGTATCTTATGATGGTTAGCTGGAACGAGCATCAATTTTATTGGTTGGTAAAGAAAAAAAAAATGGTGAATGAAAAATTTGGATGGCCAAAGCCTTTCTTTACAGGTGTTTTGGGTTTTGTCGGAAAAAAAAAAATAATGGTTGCAACTAGTAGGATGGGAGATTAAAGAAAAAGAGACCATAAGAATGGAGGCAAAGAGAAGTTGGTTCACGGTGGTTTAATTAAATAAGAGGGGCTCTTAGTTATTAGGTTATGAGTGATAGTTCATCTTTTACGGCTAAGGTTTTTTTTTTTTTGTGAGTGTATATGAGTTGGGGAGAGGTTTTTTCTAGTATTTTTTTAATTTTATTTTTTTTGTTATGGTCTAATCTCTCATCTTAAATGAGATTCATTTACTATTTATAAGCCAAATAACATGTTCTTTTCTTTCCCTCTGAATCACTTGGCTTTCAAGCCAACTTGTTGACCAAACAATCTAAAATCATTTTGGTTCTTTATTTTTTTTCTTTGCAATTTGGTGTTTTTGTCCAAATATTTTCAAAAATAAAGGGTCAAAATTGAATTATGATAGAAACTAAAAACTATATAACTCAATAACTCAACAAAACAATAATAACTGTATTAGAGTTCAATTAAGTTCAAAGGATCTTCAAAACTTCTTTATCAAGTAAGCATTTAATTGTAGATTGATAACTAGTAGACGATAACTTGTAAGCGTAATTCTATTAGTGGTTAAACAATAAGAGATAACTCTCTAGACAACAATCAAGTATATTTGCAATTTACTTTATAATCAGTAGGCTGATAATTTCAATTTTATAAATAAAAAAAATACTAAAAAGATGTTTCATCATCCAGGAGTTTCAATTTATAGATGTAATCAGAGTATGAATTATTATATAAATGTAAATATTCTTATAAGTTATTGAGTTTACTTTACATTCAAGTTGTTTTAATTATTTGGTTACTTCTTTAATTAAATTATTATATGTATGGATGTCGATTTAATTTTATTGATAGTCCCATAACTTTGTAATATAAATTTGAAATTATGTGAGTAGATTTAAAATCAAATCTAGAGTTTAACTCAGTTAGCTTAAAACTTTAATTTTAAATTACAAAGTCTTCTTAATTGAGACAAACATAAAAGAACCTATATCAAATAAGGATTCATTAAAAAAAAATATTGTTTAGGATGAAAAATTATAGATTTTTTACAATTTATTTTTCGCTCAAGTTTAAACATAGGGAAAACTTTACAAATTAACATGTAAATTATAGATTAGTTTGGTTAACAAGTAATTAAGAGTTGATTAAAGTTTACTAAATACATAATGAGTAATTAATTATTATTTTTTAATTATCAAGTTGAACAAAATTATTCAAAGTATGATATTTAATATACTTATACCATATAATAATAATAATAATAATAATAATAATATAGAAACAATAGGATATATTATTATCATTTGATAATTTACATATATTTATACATGAGAACTTTTAATATTGTTATTTGTTCTATCATGTACATTTCTTTATTTCTTTTGTTTTTTTTTTCTAAATTTTTAAAGAGTTAGATGTTGATTAGGCGGGATGCATGCAATTTATGTATACATGCATTTGCTTGTCTCATATTTTAATATAGAAACAATAGGATATATTATTATTATTTGATAATTTACATATATTTATATCATAGAACTTTTAATGTTGTCATTTGTTCTATCATGTTCACTTCTTTATTTCTTTTGTTTTTTTTCTAAAATTTTAAAGAGTTAGATCTTGATTAGCCGGGATGCATGCAATTTATATATACATGCATTTGCTTGTCTCATATTATTTTTAGAGGCATGCCATGGTCATAAATGAATTGAAAAAATAAAATAGAACACACATGCCCCATATTATTTACTTATTTATTTAAATAATTGTTATGAATTTATAAATTTTTAAAAAATTACTAGTAAAAATGTGTTTTAAATACCCATTTCAATGAATATTAATGAATCCTTATTTGTACATTCTTTATTATTATGATGTTAGATTATCATTAACTAATTAGAGAAAAAAACTCTTGCCAACAATATACATATGGTAAAAATGCAAATACTTGTTTTGCATTTAATACATTTATTGCACCAACAATATACATACATAAATACATACATATGTATATATATAAAATTCTACATACATACATACATATCTATATATATAAAATTAAATATGATGACATATTTATTATTTTAAATCAACAAATTTATTAAAACAAAACTAGAAGCATGAATAATAAAATATTTTTATAGTTAAAATATCATTGTTTTGATATATTTATTTTTTTAAAAAAATTTAATTTTCTCAATACCTTTTCATTTTTAGACCTTGTAAAATATAAATTTCATATACAAATCTTATTTAATTTGATTCACAAAACATATCCATTTCTTTTGGAATTCAAGAATTTTGAGGGAGAGTGATATACACACTTTTATGCTACAAGCTGAATGGAAAAAAAAAATAAAAAAAAATAGAGACTATACACACTTTTATGCTACAAGCTGAATGAAAAAAAAAAGAAAAAAAAATAGAGTCTTATCCTAATAAAGTAATTATTTATGTTTTATCATGCATATTGACATTCCACTAAAAAATAAATTGTTAATTTATCGTACTATTATATTTTCATATTACATTGATATTATATTTATATTTATATATATAATATTTGCATTAGTAACATACTTATTTAGCATATTAGTAATTTTTTTTACTTTTAAATATTATAAGATTTAAATATAAAGAAGGAAATTTTGTTACTTCACGAAACTTTGGAAAATAAAAAATAATAATAGAAGGAGTGCAAAGATAGAGTAACAGTGGCTGTCATCCACCAGCCCACGCGCAGCGTCGGGTCTCCCAAAAAAGCATATTCCCAAAATCCAAAGTTGGGCATAAGGGTTCGTCACGTACCCGTTCACCTACTAAAATAACGCCACGTAATAGCTGTAAAAAAAAGCATCACCCGTCACCACCTGTCGTCTACAAACCCTTCACGTAAGCATTCAACGCCCACCTGTATAAATAATAGAAAAGGAAAGCTGTGGTAGCCTCACGCTTTCTCCTCGAGAGTTCTCTCTCTTTGTAAATCCTTCCCTAATTCAATCTCCCTCTGCGTCCTCTCTAGGTAATCAAAATTCTCTCTTTTTTGTTTTTTTTTTTTTTTATCAATTTTGGGTTTTTTGCTCCATTTGTTCACGTATTGTAATTACAGAGAAACTTGATTTTTTTTTCTTTTGCTTAATTTTGTAGGTTTAGCTTGAATTTGATTAATTTTGTAGGATTTCTTTTTGGGGTTTGAATATGAATTTTTTGGGTCTCTTTGGTTTGTTTAATAGAAAATAATACTGGAAATTATGCATGAAATACGTTGATTTTATACATAAAAAATGGTCAAATTTTGTCATTGTGGATCTTAATTGGGCTGGTATTTGATTTAATTGAGTTTTATTAATAAAAAACAGAAATTAAATCTGGGTTTTTTCCCCCTGATTTGGCATGAAAGTTTTAGTCTTTGTTTGTTTTGGATTTTGTAACCTAATCCAATTTGGAAAAGACTTGGAGTATTAATTGTAGAGGAATTTATCTTTCATTTCCATTCTTTAGTTTTATATTATTGATTCGTGTTCAGTGTAGGTTTTTTCGGTTTCAAAATATGATATTTTGGAGTTTTCTATGATTAAGAGAAATTAATATATGAATGATGAGTGGATATAATTAAGGTTTAGTTTGATTAATTTTATAGTATTTTTTTTGTTGGGGTTTGAATATGAATTTTTGGGGTTTCTTTGGTTTGTTTAATAGAAAACAATACTGGGAATTACGTGTGAAATATGTTGATTTTTATACCTAAAAAAGTAGATATGCTAATTTCTTTATATAGAAATAATACTGGGAATTGATTAACTAAAAGAATAAAATTGTGGTTGTGGTTATTTTTTAATTGATGTTTTTTCTTTCTCGTGGGTGTTGTGTTGAATTTTGCAGAATTGACGGACTGATCTTCATGAATTCAAGCACCACTGGAGCATCGACCGTTTCCTGCAAATCAGGAAACAAGAACAACCTTTTCTTCTGGATTCTATTTTGCCTATTGCCAAAGTTCCTCGGGGCTTTTATTGCATTCGTCAACTTCCTTTTGATTAAGGCCATTGATAGGTGTCCCTCAGTAGTTTGTGTCTTGGATACCTGTGGAGAAATCGTGCTTTAGCCATTATAGATTTGGCCTTCTGCAGTTGGCTTCTGTGGTAGTGGTAGATTTAGGTCAGCTGCAGTTGGCATCCTGGTGATATTTGGCATTTTTGCAAAATGGTTTCCTCTCAATTGCCTGGTTTGACAAAGAACCGGTTGTTGTTTCCTGTTAATCCCTCTGATACTGTAGTATCAGATCACGTTGAACTTGATTTCACTGATGTGTTTGGCCCTTTGCCATCAATAGATGTGAGTTGTGGTGATCCTCTGTCTGTAGGAGATGGTAGTGAGCTTCTTTATGATGACCCTGTTGTTGTTCATAACCGGTCACATTCGTTGGTTGGCCCCTCTTCTTATGTTAGCCAATCATTGAAGCTCAGCAAACTTAACTTGCAAGAGACGGAAGATTCATTGGAACTGGTTGAGTGTGTCCTGGACAAGACTATTAAAGAACTAGAGGAGTCTTTCACAGATGATGGTGCTGTTGAGGAAGACATGGAGGATGTCAGTGGAGATACTTTGAAGGTTCAAACTGTTGGCATTGAAGACTTTGAGGTTTTGAAGGTTGTTGGGCAGGGTGCATTTGGGAAAGTTTATCAGGTGAGGAAAAAGGGTACACCAGAAATATATGCAATGAAGGTCATGCGGAAGGACAGAATAGTGGAGAAAAATCATGTTGAATACATGAGAGGTGAAAGGGATATTCTAACAAAAATAGATCATCCCTTCATTGTCCAGCTCAAATACTCCTTCCAAGTAACTATCCATCCGATCATCTGATTACTGCATTGATTTTCTTTAGATCTAACAGACTTCCAGCCTTTAGTGATGAAAGAGATTCTTTTTGAGGAATTACATTTTCATGAAAATCTTTCCAGACAATAGAATCTTAATTAGTAAATATGCATTTTCACATTTCTTCTCTTTCCCATTGACACTACTGAACTATATATTTTGGCTGTCACTGCCATGCAGACCAAATATAGGCTATACCTTGTGTTGGATTTCATAAATGGTGGCCACCTTTTTTTCCAGCTCTATAACCATGGCCTTTTCAGGTATCTGAAATCTTGTTGATTTGGATACTTTTTGCTGAAGATTAGAAGTAGATTGATAAATATTAAGATGTGTTTATTCTATTTCAGGGAGGATCTGGCACGTATATATGCTGCTGAGATTGCTTCTGCAGTTTCTCACCTTCATGCAAATGGCATAATGCATAGGGATCTTAAACCAGAAAATATCCTGCTGGATTCAGATGGCCATGTAATCCCCCCTCCTTTCTCCTACTATGGACTTGCACGCTCACTCACTGACACATTCATTTCTAAATTAAAAAAACAAACAGATTGTAATGTTTTATACGTTCTCTTGTCTAGGCAATGTTGACTGATTTCGGCCTGGCAAAGGAATTTGATGAAAATACGAGATCAAACTCAATGTGTGGAACAGTTGAATATATGGCACCTGAAATTGTTCAGGGAAGGGGTCATGACAAGGCAGCAGATTGGTGGAGTGTGGGAATTCTGTTGTATGAGATGCTAACTGGCAAGGTTGGTTTTCTTCACTAAATCCTATCTAATTTCTCATCATGTTACCCTCCTATGACATATGCTTGTCTCTCAGTTGCTTGCTGAAATTGTTGATGCTTCATCCTGGTGTATCTTTGTGTGCCCCTTTGCTTGCAAAGCATTTTCTTTAATGCTTGCGACCCAAGGGTTAGTTCAGATGCCAAGTTTTGGATGTTGTTTGAAAGTGTAAGATGTTGAGAAAATCGCTTGCAATGGCAATGGTGAAAAGTATATACTATCATGTGAATGTTTATGCATATGTTGGATACAAGGTAGTATCCACATTTTCTCCTCATCTTGCTGCCTGTTCATTGTCGATATGAAGTATGAACATCTATGTGTCTGTGGGGTCTGCCATGTCTTTCAATATCAGTTACAGCAGGTTATGTTGCCTAATTATTATGTTTGCTGCCTTTTGCTCTTGCAGCCTCCATTTATTGGTGGGAATAGAAACAACATTCAACAGAAAATAGTCAAGGATAAGATCAAGCTGCCATCGTTTTTGTCAAGTGAAGCACACTCTCTGTTGAAAGGGGTAAATTTTATTGTTCTTATATATCATTTTTGGGGCTTGAATTTTGGTTGTAGTTGGCACAACAATAAAAGAAGGGAATGAAATAAAATAAAAGATCAAAAGGACAGAAGCAAACATCGTTTTGACATTACTGTTTTTCTTTAATTTTCCTGTTTAAGATGTACTGACACCCAATTTTTTATCGGGAACCTTATCGATAGTGTTTGGTTTTGGGTTGGAGGAGGAGAGTTAGGATTGGAAGGGCGTCTGAGGTACTGATTATGATATTCTTTACTAACACTAAAGCTAAGAGAACTTGTTTGGTTTTGTTTTAGCTCTTAAACAAGGATGCCGCCAAGCGCTTAGGAAGTGGATCATTGGGAAGTGAAGAGATTAAGCGACACAAGTGGTTCAAGCCAATCAACTGGAAGAAATTGGATGCCAGGGAGATCCAGCCCAGTTTCCGTCCAGAAGTGGCTGGGAAGCATTGCATAGCTAACTTCGATAAGTGTTGGACTGACATGACATTATCAGATTCTCCAGCTGCTAGTCCCAAGATGAATACCAATCCCTTTGTGAACTTCACTTATGTTAGGCCTGCGGCCTCTTTCCTTAAACAGAATAGCCCCCTATGTTAGAAAGCCATACATCGGATCACTGCTTCATCTCCCAAGATATGTGGTTTGAGCTTGAAGAAGTTTATTTATGAAGTGTCAAGATATCATTTCGTGAGTTTTTTGCAAAGAATGCTTTGCCTATGGACAGGATGTATTTCTTCTGTTGGATTGTGTTGTCTTGTATCTGCTAGTCTTTTTGAAACATGTAACTACATTATGGTTCGTGGATTAATGAAAAAACATGTAACTACATTGTGTTGTCTCGCCTTTAAATTAATGAATTAAAGCGCTAATGCTAGGGTTCCTGCTTCTCAGTATGCTGTATCTTGTTTTTTCATTCCCAATGGTAAATTAACGGTCTTGTTTGCTTATTCATATGTTTTAGCTATGTGATGGACTATATGGATGTTTGTGTACGTGGTTGAAAAAAATTGATTTACTATGTATGGTTTCATATAATTTTTATATTTGAAATGCGATTAATGAAAAGTAAGGAAATTTTATTTTTAATATGTTGTTTATGTTAATTGAACAGTATAAATTTTTTTTAATGTTTATTTAAAAATAACATGTTGGTTTTTTATATGAATGTTAATATCAATTTTATATCTGATAGTATTTTATTTAATTTTATTATATACTCAAAAAATTATGAAAATTTTAATTCTTGGATGAATTTTGTACATAATATAGAATTATAAATAATTTAATAAAATAATAAAAAATATTTTATATAAAATATTATTTATTTCATGATATAATAAAAGTAATTAATTTTAAAATATTTAAATTTAAAACTATCAATAGTAATATATATTTTTAAAAATTATATTATAATCTCAATTTTAAAAATATTATTAACCAAACACATTAAATTATTTTTTTTTAACCTTAATTTCAATCATATTTTTAACCAAATATTTATTTTTTAAAACCAATCTCAACTAAAAATATTTTTTTATAAAATAATATTTTTTAAATCACAACCACATTAACTATAATAATATTAAATACACCTTGTATCTGCTAGTCTTTTTGAAACATGTAACTACATTATGGTTCGTGGATGTTGTCTCGCCTTTAAATTAATGAATTAAAGCGCTAATGCTAGGGTTCCTGCTTCTCAGTATGCTCTATCTTGTTTTTTCATTCCCAATGGTAAATTAACGGTCTTGTTTGCTTATTCATATGTTTTAGCTGTGGTGGACTCTATGGGCGTTTCTTTACGCGGTTGATTTACTGTATATGGTTTCACATAATTTTTATGTTTAAAATGTGATTAATAAAAAAACAAGGAAATTCTATTTTTAATACGCAGTTTATGTTTATGTAAATTATATTATTTAGTAAACAGTGTAAATTTTTTTTACTATTCACTTAAAAATAATAAATAATACAATTCACTTGTACTATTCACTTAGCCTGTTTATCCATATTGGTTGTTTTTAATGTTAATTTTATCAATATATTTTAAAAAAAATACTAGTTTAGAGTAAATTAAATTTATTTGTACTATGATATAAATCAGCAGAATCCTAAAATTATTTGCTTTTCTACTTTCAAGCCCAATTTCCATAATGATATATCTTCATTCACTAACCGTTTGAAAGGTAACTCAGTCAGGTGTAAAGCTTTCTTTGGCAATATCTCGGTACTATGATATAAATAATATTTTTTTCTCGAAAAACTAGTATAGAGTGAATTAAATTTACTTGCATTGTAATATCAAATTTATATCTGATAATATTTTATCTAATTTTATTTCATACTTAAAAAATTATGAAAACTTAGAAATGGGGTCTTCTGGTTTTTGCTGGGGTGGCATGGATTTACTTGACTGCAAGGCCTGGTATTCTCATAGGTGCCATCGATGCATACCTTCTGGCTCCTTTGCAACTTGGTTTGGACAGTTTGAGTGGAAGGAGGAACCTGAAGAGGAGTGATTTCCTGGTTGGGGATAAATTGGGAGAAGGTTCTTTTGGTGTTGTTTATTCTGGGGTGGTTGTTCCAAGGAATGCAACTGTAGACGAGAAGGTGCCGAAGAGGGGGACAGGAAGAGCATTGCAGTTGAGTACGAGGTTCAAAGAAAAGGTTATACTAAAGAAGGTAACTTCCTTTTTTCCTTGCATAATTGAACATGAGTACACGACTGCTTTCCCTTCTCTATCATTGATATACATCCTTGAAAGATTCAAAGAGTTTCAGTTCTTAAAGAGTAAACTGCAATCAAAAGATGAGTTTTTACTCTTATACCTGGTCTTCTCCATGTATATAATTTCTCAATTTTCTGAAATGTGTGGATGTGATGGTGATCTTAATGGGAATGTGCAGGTGAAGGTTGGAGTCACAGGAGCAGAACAATTCGGCGAATATGAGGAGTGGTTTAATTACAGGCTGTCAAGAGCAGCTCCCGAAACTTGTGCTAAGTTCCTTGGAAGTTTTGTTGCTGAATCTGACAGAACAAGTTCACAATTTACAAAGGGTGGAAAATGGCTTGTTTGGAAATTTGAGGTATTTCAGCCAGCTGGAAATCTTCCAAGGACTTTCGAAACACTAGATAAAAAGTCTTCCCTGTTCAACTTCCTAATGTTTTGCTAGTTTTTTACATAGGAGTTTGAATGGTGTTAATGTTCAAATACCAGTGAACTTCTGCAGCTTCATTTATTTCGGATCTTTGAATATTTTCTAATTCACTTAGCTTCATCAATTCAATCTTGATGCACAGAATTTTTTACAGTTTTAGATTCATTAAATGATGCAACAGTTGCCCCATTCACTAATTACAGGGTTGTTCGTCTGACAGGGAGATCAAACCCTTGGCGATTACATGAAAGATCGCAACTTCCCTTTTAACTTGGAGTCCATCATGTTTGGAAGGTTCCTGCAAGGAGTTGATTCTGTTAAACGAAGTGCATTGATCATCAAGCAAGTAATGCGCCAGATTATTACTTCACTTAAGAAAATCCATGATACTGGGATTGTTCACAGGGACGTAAAGCCAGCCAACTTAGTGGTGACAAAGAAGGGAAAGGTTAAGCTCATAGATTTTGGGGCAGCCACTGACCTCCGGATTGGCAAGAACTACATACCTGATCAAAGTCTGCTTGATCCGGACTATTGTCCACCTGAATTATTTGTGCTGCCAGAGGAGACACCAAGTCCTCCACCTGAGCCAGTTGCTGCCCTTCTTTCTCCAATTTTATGGCAGGTACTCAACTATCCAATCTCTTCTCCACATGAAACCAGGTGTACCGAATTTTCACTAACTTTTGCAAGTATATTATTGAAATCACAACAAATGCTGTTAATTGATGAGGTTAAAAAGTTCGTTGGTTTTTAATGTATCAAAGTCATCTATGTCTTAATGAGGTTTCAGATTCTAAGCTGATCTGTTGACAGACTTAGTCTTTTAACTGAAATTTTCTAGAATGCTGAATGAGATTTGCAACCATTGCTGCAGTTAAACAGCCCTGATCTATTTGATTCATACTCTGCCGGGATTGTTCTCCTGCAAATGGCAATACCAAGCTTAAGGCCTGTATCAGGCTTAAAGAATTTCAATACAGAAATAAAGAAAGCTAGATATGACTTGAATATATGGAGGGAGAGCACTCGATTGAGGCCAGACGTGACAATTCTTGAACTTGACTCAGGTAGAGGGTGGGATCTAGCTACAAAACTGATTTCAGAAAGAGGTTATCTTGGAAGGGGACGTTTATCAGCAGCTGCAGCTCTAAGGCATCCTTATTTCTTGTTGGGGGGTGATCAGGCAGCCACAGTTCTTTCGAAGCTTAGCTTAACAAAATAGGTACCGTCTTAATGATTTGAGTCCATATTCTACTCCATAAAATCTTTCATTTTCATTTCTTTGTACATATTTTGTATCTTTTTTCCTTGCATCTGTAATTCTCATAGCATAACATGTCAATCAGGCCTGCCATATACAATACTGGGGTCTCTCTGATGGATGTTACTTGGTGTATCATCCACCAAGAAAATCTCAACTAATTAATGAATTGAAATTGGTGACATGTTGTTAATCATCCGTTTGTCTTCATTTTGATTGAAGGTTTTCCTTGGGGTCTCCTAAAACCCAGAAACAATTATCTCATGGTTCTGCTGCTTTTCAGACCCTGTGGATCTGTCTCAAATCATTATATTGCTGGCATTGCATGATTGAAGACTAAAGAGAAAATGCTCCTAAAAAATCCAGGTTACGAGACCAAACTTTCACATCCTGTTCCCTTTTTATTCAATAATGAGAACGTGGAAGAGGCTCAACGCTGTGAACTGCTTAATTTCTATTTTGTGAACATTGCTGTTTCTGCAGTCTGTGGCCATGGTAATTGTTTACTTATTGTATGCACATAGCATTCTCAATTTTTTTTTTTTGTGTGTGTGGCCCTTGGGTGCTATAAGAACAGCCTAAAAGACCATTGATAGATATCTAGTTAGGATGGAGTTTTCTTAAGATAAAAAAAATAAAAAAATCTTGTCTCTTTGCACTAGAATTGCTCATTCCAGCTTCTGCTAATCTTCTGGCCTTCTGCAATGTTGTTTGTCTTCTCTATGTGTATCATTGTAACCATCATTAACTAAGTAATATCAATTTATGTATGAGACCTACCATCCTTTTTTAATAGTCTATCATGCCATGTCTGAGTAAAAACTGACTTATGCTGAACTTCCAGTGCTAGCACATTGTAATTTTTTAGTGGACATGCGACTAAACTATTAGGAATGTATTGGAGATAACTTGCAAACATACAAAGAAAACAAGCGCTGGACTATTTTTCTGAGAAATTCGGAGGAAAATCAGTTGAATCGTTTCTTGCTAAATCTGACTAATCTACAATGGTTTCCGTATGACTTGCTTGAAACAGCTGTCAATTTAGCTACTATCTCTATTCATGCACAACTGCCTGAACTAATACAACTGACAAAAACCAAGGACATAGAAACTAAAGAACATCTTAGAAACAATGGTGACTAAGACAGCTGAGCATAAGGTGCCAATCCTTAGCACTGGAATCATACAGCTGAGGGGTTAAAAGTGCAGCGGAAAGAGGGTAGTCAAATCCTAGACAGAACCTGATGAACATCAGCCAAACCATCGGGCAGTCTTAGTATGCCCATATGGCATTTTATTACCAATATGCACGTGGTAATGTCAATAATTTCATTCAGAATCCTCCTTCCAGATGTTCTGTGAGCCAACCAAGGAAGATGAAGATCATCTTTATGATAGATAATTATGATGGAAGATACTTTCAAATCTAGGCTGTGGGAATGGAATGTGGGTCTGTTTTGTTGAGTTCATCTTTTTTAAGCTTTTAATCTTGCAGCATTAAAGCCGGAATATGTTTTTATTACTAGTGACTAGAATCTGAGGAAGTGGGACATAATACAGAGACTGACAAGAAAGAACTTTGTAACAGACAATTTCAAAGGAAAAACCCAAGTGGAGGAGATAAAATTGCTTGTCTGATAATACAATAACAGCTTGTAAAGCCATTTTCTTTATTTAATACCACCAGTATTCATGTTTTTGGAGGTACAAAAACAGGGGTGTATTATCATAACCACTGTACTTCTTCCTTTTCCTGTTGTGACCGATCAACTACTTTTACAAATCATCATGGTAGAGGAATGCCTCTAAAGGATTCCTCTTCTTGCAGCCCCATTTGCATTTCCATGAACACATGGAATTGACGATTGCGACTCGTGTTGAATGGAGGGAAATGATGTTTGATGTGGAAGGAGATTTTGATAGAACAATTGCATATCCATCATCCATGTAGTCTGTCCCGTCAGGGAAAAGCTGCCACAGAAGGCTCCCAGCTCCACTCCCACCTCTCTTGGTTGAGTTCAAGAGGGTCTTGTACACTGTGTTAATTAGAGTGTCGCGGAATGATGAGTTGTATCCAGGATCTTTTGAAGATACACCAAACTCAGCGAACACAACCGGCATTCCCAGATATTTCTCAGCATCCTCTATGTGAGCTTCCATCCATGACTTGGTGAATTGGATATGAGAATCCGTAATTGTTTGCGAAATCCTTCATCCATAGATTTAATCATTTGTTTAGATCCTAAATAAGAACAAGTTTTCTTTGTCATTGCTGTGCAGCGAGTACTTACCAGGAGTCTGCGTATATGTGAACAGAAGCAAAATCAACACCAAGAACCTGATGGTTCCTGATAAAGTCGGTACCAACTTGCGTAGCATATGAGTTTGGATTGAACTGAGCCCTATCAGGAGCCGATGGTCCATAAAATCCCTCCAATCCAATCTCTACTAAGTGCTTTGCATCCATGCTCTTCACATATACTGCCATGTCTGTTATCCATGACTATAAAAACAAAGACATCCATTTGCTTCAGAACCGATGGCATAAACAGAATTCTTCCTCAAAGCACTACCAGCTACAAGAATCTATTGTATAGCTGCAATGCAAAATCAAGTGTCGAAGATCAACAAACCTGCAGTTTATCGCCAGAGGGATCTGAGGTGCATCGAGGTTCATTCATCAGCTCCCAAGCAAATATTGTAGGGTCATCCTTGTAGGTTATGTTTGTGATCGTATTGACTCTATTCAACACCGCCTGCATTCAGTGAATAAAGAAACTGTAAGACCAACTGTCAGATGGATTAATCTTCTGAATTCGATATTAGATTGCACAAAAAAAAAGAAATGTTGGTTGGAGCAGTAGTCTGAAAGTTGCCTTGACATGAGCCTTGTAGTAACTTCTGAGAGTTGGATGAGAGAAGAAATCATCATCAGATGTCAAATTGAGGCCAGAAGCTTTTCCCCATTTAACATATTGTGCTTTTCCACCATATGCATCCCAATTGTTAGCCAATGATAATATGAGCCTGATCTTGTACTGCTTTGCTTCACTGACCACAAAATCCAGGGCCTGCAGCTCATACAAAATTATGACACATAATAAAGAATGCATACCAAAATAACTTTGGCATCCTAGCTATCAGTAGCCTTTGTAAGCTCAGAAACCAGGTAACAGTTAGAAATACCTTGAAAACATCTTCATCATAAACACCTGGAGATTTTTGAAGAGCTCTCCATTGACCATCATTAAAAGCCCAAGTCCTGCAAACTGATAGGCCAACTGAGGATGCTTTTTGGAAAACCTCAGTGACCTTCCCTCTGGTAGATTGATCAGCAGCAAACACCATCAGCCAGTATGTGTTAAATCCATTGACATAGAAAGGTTGGTCATTGATCACAAACTGGTTTCCTTTCTTTGCTACCATTAGCCATTCATCTTCTTCCACATCATTCAACTCATAAACCCTGCACATTTGAATAATCAAAGCATAAATGTAAAAATAATGTTTTACAGAAAATTACATTTTGTTTTTTTGTCTTCCTTTATGGTTACCCTTGACTTGAGCTAGAAGATGGTAGATGATTGTCTACTTCCTCCACCATTGTTTTAAATTGTTCATCATCCATAACACCAAAGCTGCTGCATTTTGAACTTTCATTAAGAAGAATAAAAACGGACACCAAGAAAATGATCTTGAACCCAAATACCCTCTTGTTGGTATCCATAGTATTGAGTCAGCAAACCAAGGGTTGCACACCCCTCTTCACTGGACCCCCCATATTTATATGCATGACCATCTAAGGCTGTCTTCTACCGAGTAGCAGAAACTGTGATATGCAAGACGAGTGTTGAAGAGGGGATCTACACCATGGCTTTAAATCCAAGAAAATTTCAATTCTTATATTTTCTATGCCATTTTCTTTTCTTCCAAACACAGATACATTGATGGATGTATACAAGCAAAAGCTACAGACCCAGGTATAGTTGCATACTTAAACAAGGCTTCAGGTATGACTCCTAAGGTAAGTTTTTAAGGGTCCTACAAGAAAATGAGACCCTTTTGAACCTAGATAACTTGTAGTTCAGATGACACTGACATTACTTCGAGGTCACTGCATCTTTCTTGAAGAGCATGTTGACATGTCCTAAAACCTGCAAACTAGATTGGTCTCTACACACACACATACATAGACAAACACGGAAAAAATAAATCCATGGAAAGAAAGACGAAATCGATGCATGCCATTCCTCTGCAAAAAGCTATCTGGAGAGTAGGAGATTGAAGAAATATAGTGGAGCTGGTAAACAGGTAAGCAGAACTAAGCTGATCTGTTGCAAGCTTAACTTGAATGTTCTGTGATACATCATATATGTGTGGCAGACCCAGAAAAAATCCTGTTATGTAGCCTGGCAACCTTTGATTGTCCAAACACACAACCTGTCTGATTTATCAACTATCATATGCTTTTTGTTTCTGGCCTTTTTTTTGGGTCAAATTAACATATTTGTGCTCTGTGCAGTCTCAAAGTTCCCATTAACAACTGGAGAAAACTATCTTTAACTTTGAAGTAGCAAAAGGTAGCTCCCAAGGAATCCAAGGTCCTGCTTTAATCATAACAACGCATTTGATGTCATTATGCATCCTGGTATGGCTTCGAGAGTTTATATTTTTGCATCATTTTGCTTTGTTTTTATTGAATCAAAAACCTAACATTGGATTAATCAAACTTGAAATTCAAAATTTTCAGGGAAGATATGAGTTGAATTCAGCCATCAGAAGCTTAGATTTTGATCCCTTGTTTTTTTATAATGAAAAAAAAAATGTCTACCATGCAAAATGTTTTTTTTTAGAACTATTGTTGTTGGCCCATTACGAAGCACTCATCTTGCATGGCTCTGGTTTTTTTCTACTTCTATCTGGGCCATGCTAGAATTGTCACCCAAAAGTTCAGGATTTTTATTATTTTTCTTGTTTTTATCAAATTAATGCACCCCTGTTGTTAGAGAGGCTACTGCCATCCTTGAAGGTTGATTTAATCAAATTCCATTGACTAGTTGATGGAGTCAAATCCAAGTGATACATGGCTGAGGAATTTTTAAATAAAAAACAATATAATTTGAAAGTTGACCTAATAAAACAATAACCCAAACCTTAAATGGGATTTTTATTATTAAGACTCTGTTCTGCCAATTGTTAACAATATCAATTAACATGAAATATAGGGACCAGGGAGAGGGTTTTTCATTTCAACACTATTCATAACGGTGGATTTCTATAATGAAATTATAATTTTATTTTTAAGTGGAGAAAATGAGAGGCTTTATGATGAGGTAGTTTGGTCTTTTTAAGATGTTCATTGTTCATTAAAAATTTATTCAGGAATGTTAGTTTTTTCAAATTAATTATATAATAAAACATCGTCAAGATCAACAAATTTTAAAATTATTGACCAAGGGTTTTCTTTCATATGTTTTTTTTATTTGAATCCTTATCCTTTGATTTTTTTTTTTGTTCATCAACAAATTTTAAAATTATTGACCAAGGTTTTCTTTCATATGTTTTTTTTTATTTGAATTCTTATCCTTTGATTTTTATTTTTTTTGTTCTTTTTATTGAAGTTTTTATTAAAGTTTTGTTAGTTTTCTATTTTATATTTTAATCAAAGTTTATATTATTTTATTTTTTTAATTTAACCCTTATTTTTCTTTTGTTAAAGTTATTTTTCACCCTCCAATTGAAATTTTTTGTTTGCCCTTAAATTTATTTTTTATTTTGATTTTATCATCATTCTTTTAATTATAAATTTTCTAGATCCTTTTGTGTATTTGATCTTTTTTATTTTATTATTTGATATTTAATTTGTTAAATTTGGGATTCGTGTTTTTATTTTTATTTTTAATGCTTCCAGTCTAATGACCCGAATTACAAATTTAAAAATGTAATGTTGTTTGATATTTTTTTGGATCATTTTCTTTTGCTATCTTATCATTTTTCATTAGTTTTTTAAAAAAAAGATTAATTTTGTGATTATCTTCAAAAACAATTTATATAAATTTATTATAATCTCATAATCTAGATCATGGATTCTGCATATTTTTTTTAATACAGGTTTTTTTAAAAAATTATTTTGTTTGTATTTTATTTTTAAAGATATTATTCTAATTTAGCTATAAATGTTTTATAAAAATAAACTTTATTTTTCAAAATAAAAAATATTTATTTTTAAATAATATTTCTGATATATTTAGCTTTATGTAATATATTTTTTAGAGTATGAGTTTATTCAATTAGTTTTATTTGTGTTTCTATTTCTATTATTATTTATTAATTTAAATAAATAAATTCAATAACACACAACTGAATAAATATTTTATTTTATGTGATTAAATATCTGAATTTACATTTGTTTCTTAAATCTTTTTAATTAACAATATTTTTTTTATTTTAATCGGATACCTACAAATGCATTTTGATATGCACTTTAATTGTATTTTTTTTACATCAAAATAATCAACATATCTGATATTTTTTTTTGAAAACAAAATTTATATCCCGGGTTAAATAGCTAGCCAAGGATTAAAGTTAATTTGCAGAGTGGTATTTACTTATGTTTTACATCAATTTTTTTTTTCCTTGGCAGGCCCATGATTAATAGAAACTTAGCCAATTTGTTTCAATATTTTACATGTAGCGTACAAAAAAAAGAGGCAATTAGTCAATATTATTCACACTACAAGTTGTAAATAAATAATCATGGAAGGTTGAAAACCAGTTTCACCTACTACTAGTGCAAAGATTAAACTTTATCGTCAAATGCACAATAAATAAATAAATAAAAACTATTCGTGGTTCCTATCAATTGCAAGATGGTGGAGCCCTTATGGATGACGACTAGTGGCATGCATGTCTAACACGAAATATAATTCCATTTAACAAATTACATATGGAAAACATTTTCACTTCTATTATTATTATTATTATTATTATTATTATTATTATTATAGCAAATTGTATTTATGGATTGCTGGTGTTTCAATTAATCCTAAATATATTTCTAAGTGCATATCTTATCTTATATCAATTGAGAAAATAATTTACTTGTGGTTGTTATTGTAAACAAAGAAGAAGGAAGATTGAATTTTCATTTTCCTACATTCATGCTACAGTTTTCCAAGTGTATTTAATATTGTGTTGTTTTTTTATTACGGTTTTAAAAAATAAATTTAACAAAATTATAAATTATGATATTTTTTTATAATTAAGATTTTAAAAAGGATTTCTAAATATAATATACATAAAAATTTAAATGCATATTGATTAATAAAACACTTTCAAAACTATGGCATCGTATTATTAAATATAATAATAATTTTATATCGGCAGATATATATATATATATATATATATAAATATATAATATATATATAAACAGGGTTTAATGCATTGAATTTTATTCAAGATTCTCAAACAAAATGCCAAACAAATAATAATCTGTAGAAAAATGAGAAAAGAGCAAAAAATTCATCACAGCTTGGTGGGGGAAGGGCCTCAGAGACCAAGCGCGTTAAAACGGTATGATTTGAACGCGTTTTAGGGAATCTCTCCCTGCGACCCTTCATCAGTGATCTGTCATCCAATCACAAATCCATTTTCCACCGTAAATGGCAAATACTGTAATTACTACCTCCTCCAAGGTTATTTACGTCGAAAACAATTTACTTCATTAAATAAAACATGAGGAGACTTCGGTCCCCTAACTATCTACGTTCTTTCAATTTAGTCTCAAACAAAATATTTTCACGATCTCCCACCCCACTTCTATGATATCCGAAATCAAATTCCCTCTCCTGTCATATTATTTAACCGATCCGTCAAACTAATAACTCACTAGATTATCGATTTAAATAGTGGATTATTTAATATTGTAATGTAGATATATTATGTGGTATTAAGCCTAAAATAAAAAATAACAAAGTGGTAAGTGTTTAATTCTTGAAGAAATTATCAAATTTTGAAATATTTTATCTTAAATTTAATTTTTTTAATTTTTTTTTACGTGATGGACTCAACAAACTAGGTTTAATTAGTTTAATTGGTTTTATAAAATCCTTTGAATTTAGTATTTGAAATCAATCTAAATTAGTTTGATAGTTAGAACTTAAATTTTCGAAGCATCATATGAAGATTAATTTAATTAGAAACTCAAATGAGGGATTCAATTAGGTCTTGCCCACCCCACTAAGAATAATTTAATTAGAAACTAAATTGTGAAGTAGTTAATAGTACGAGGACTAATTTGAAGTTACAACAAAAATCCATTAAGAAGTTATTACATCATATGAAGAAACCCCCCACAGAACTAGCTAGCGACTTCAAAAAAATTAATTAACTGGCAAGTGGCACCTACTAAAGCCAACACAAGTTGGTTTCTTTCTTCTAGTTTCTTCACCTTCATATTCAGGCGATCTGTCCGAATTGACCCAGTGAGTCCGTTTCTCTTACAGGTTATTTTCAGCTGAGTGTTTCTAAGAAGGTAAACTTTCACCTTCACCGACCCTAATCTCCATTGTTTTGTTCCCCTAGAGCTCAAGAAAGATGGCTTGAGTTCTCTTTGTTTCTCTCTCTTGGAGTCCTTTATTAGTAGTGCTTCTTTGGGATTCCAGTGCTGGCATCTTAGCTTCTTGTAATCTGGTTTTTAGCTAGTTTTTCTTGTTTAGGAACTGGGTTTTTGGTGTTTGTTTAGCTAGTCCTTGATCTGGTCACATAAAGGTTTGAGCTTGATTTGAGTGCTTAATCACCTAGATCTCTGCTTTATTTATCCTTGTCAAGCTTTAGTTTTGAGCTTGCTTTGTTTCTGTTTTGGGTGTTGATTTCGTGGGTTCTGATAAAAAAGAGACTTTATAGGTTGTTTTGTTGAGGTTGAGTCCATGAGAAGCATGGATAAGTGTTTCTGTGCTTCTGTACTTGTTCTTCTTTGCTTGTTATCGTCAATTCAAGTTATTTTTGCTGCAAACTATGTTCCCACTGAGAAAACCCTCCTGGACTGTGGGGCCAACTCCGATCGACCTGATTCGGATGGTCGAGATTGGACCTCAGATAAGGGTTCTTCATTCTTGTCTTCCTCTGGAAAATCATCCACAGCCACTGCTTCCACTCAGGATCCTGCCGTTCCCCAAGTTCCCTATCTAACAGCTCGCATTTTTCAGTCAAATTTTACCTATAGTTTCCCAGTGATTTCTGGTCATAAATTCGTTCGTTTGTATTTCTATCCTTCTTCATACAATGGGCTTAATGCGTCCGATGCTCTCTTTTCTGTTACTGCTGGGTCTTATACACTTCTTAGCAATTTTAGTGTTGCTCAAACCACGGATGCTTTGAATTATGTTTCAATCATGAAGGAGTATTTGATCAATGTGAATGGTGATACATTGAACATAACTTTTAGTCCGTCTTCAAATCCTTCAAGTGCTTATGCATTTGTAAACGGGATTGAAATTGTGTCAATGCCGGACATTTATAGTAATGCTAATGGAGTGATGATTGTCGGCCAGGGTGTCCCATATGTCATTGACAATACTACTGCCCTTGAGAATGTATATAGGTTAAACGTGGGAGGTAATAGCATCACCCCATCTGGTGATACAGGTCTATTTCGATCCTGGTCTGATGATCAAATATATCTTTATGGGTCAGCATTTGGTGTTCCAGAGAGTGCTGATTCAAATGTGAAGATTAGATATCCTCAAGGGATGCCCTCTTATGATGCCCCAGATAATGTGTATCTCACTGCTAGATCGATGGGGCCAACTCCTAATGTCAACGTGAATTACAATTTGACTTGGATATTTAGCGTGGACGCTGGTTTCAATTACTTGGTTAGGCTCCATTTCTGTGAGATTTCAAATATAACCAAGATCAATCAGAGGGTATTTGACATCTTTCTCAATAATCAAACTGCTGAAGAAGCAGCGGATGTCATTGCCTGGGCAGGGGGGAGTGGGAACAATGGAGTTCCAGTTATTAAAGATTACGTCGTGCTAGTTCCTACCGGGCCTCCACAGCAGGATATGTGGCTTGCACTTCATCCTGATGTGAAATCAAAGCCCCAGTATTATGATTCAATATTAAATGGTGTGGAAATTTTCAAGCTAAGCAGTTTAAATGGTAATCTTGCTGGACCAAATCCAATTCCTGCTCCTGAACAGGACATCATCGATCCCTCAAGGGCCAGACCAGCTTCTGGATCTGGTCATTCAAAGAGCCAAATAGCAATTATAGCTGGAGGTGTGAGTGGTGGGGTTGTTCTAGCCATTGTCATTGGTTTTTGTGTTCTTGCTGCATCCAGACGCCATAGACAAGGGAAGGAGACAAGTTCAAGTGATGGACCATCTGGGTGGCTTCCTCTTTCTCTTTATGGAAATTCGCACTCTGCAGGTTCAGCCAAGACAAATACTACAGGAAGTTATGCTTCCTCCCTGCCTTCAAACCTTTGCCGCCACTTCTCATTTGCTGAGATCAAGGCTGCCACCAAGAACTTTGATGAGGCTTTGCTCCTTGGGGTGGGAGGTTTTGGTAAAGTTTACAAGGGAGAAATTGATGGTGGAACAACTAAAGTTGCGATCAAGCGCGGTAATCCACTCTCTGAGCAAGGAGTGCATGAGTTCCAGACTGAAATTGAAATGCTTTCAAAACTTCGACATCGTCACCTTGTTTCACTGATTGGTTACTGTGAAGAAAATACTGAGATGATTCTTATTTATGATTACATGGCTCATGGAACATTGCGTGAACATTTATACAAAACCCAAAAGCCCCCTTTGCCATGGAAGCAAAGACTTGAAATATGCATTGGGGCTGCTCGTGGTTTACACTATCTCCACACTGGGGCAAAGCACACTATTATCCACCGTGATGTGAAGACAACTAACATTCTTTTGGATGAGAAGTGGGTCGCCAAGGTCTCTGATTTTGGGTTGTCAAAGACAGGCCCTACTTTGGATCACACTCATGTCAGCACTGTTGTTAAAGGCAGTTTTGGCTATCTGGATCCAGAGTACTTCAGGAGGCAACAACTAACTGAAAAATCTGACGTGTACTCATTCGGAGTTGTGCTGTTTGAGATCCTGTGTGCTCGGCCAGCCTTGAACCCAACACTGCCTAAGGAACAGGTGAGCCTGGCAGAATGGGCTGCTCATTGCCATAAGAAAGGCATTCTTGATCAGATTCTTGACCCCTATCTGAAGGGGAAGATCACACCAGAATGCTTCAAGAAGTTTGCTGAAACTGCAATGAAGTGTGTCTCTGACCAAAGCATTGACAGGCCTTCAATGGGTGATGTCCTCTGGAACCTAGAGTTCGCTTTGCAGCTACAAGAGAGTGCAGAGGATGGCAGCAAGGATATTGTAGGTGCAGACGATGAGGAGGTGCCATTCAATGTTGCCTATAAAGGGAAAGCTCCTGATGCTTCCCCCGGTTATGATGGTATCGCGACTGATTCAAGAAGTAGTGGAATCAGCATGAGCATAGGTGGCCGGAGCCTTGCTAGCGAAGACTCTGATGGCTTAACACCAAGCGCTGTTTTCTCGCAGATCATGAACCCGAAAGGACGATGAGCTTGTGGAAATCCAGGAAGGCAGTTTGCAATCTACTGTCAATCGTCAAACAAACTCAATTTGGCAATTTTTTTTTCTTCAGTTTTTTCTTGTCTAATTCATTTAGTTACCTTTTCCCCTAGTTCTGATATGTTTTGATCAGATCAGTTACTATAATTTGTATCTACAATTTACCTGAAGAGTGTAAAATAAAGCTGTGTAGCTTCCTTTGGCATTTGTGATAGTAGCATCTACATGCTGTCATATTCTTTTTTCTTGTTTAGGTCATGTCTGTGTCGCGGTTGAAACTATTTTTATGCCTTTTCATGTTTGAAACTCAAGTGGATGGATTTCGATAGAACAACAGTCCATGTCTTGTGATGTATGCTTGCATTTGGTATTTTGATGGTCTTAATTGCTGTCAGTTACGGTCTCTTACAAGTGGCCGTAAATTCTGGTCTCTTACAAGTGGCGGGATCCAAGCATAGTGTTGTTAATACAAGGAAAAGGGCAGGGGAGGTTTTTTATGCCCTAAAACTGCCTGGTTCAACGAGTCATTTTGAAGCGGCTGGCAATAACGTGGGGAAGTATAAGTGGAAGGGCTGTCGTAGGGTTTGTCGGTAAATTGACTTCTGTAAGAGAGATTTTATTATGTTGTTATTATTAGCCAAAAGAGACGTTAGATAGACAGATGCCACCCATTGAATGAAATTATGCCCCCTGTAACATATAACAATCTTTTAAGAAAGCTTATAAATCATGATGTGGATTGATCACGTATGAGATATTTTTTAAAAAAAAAGAGAAAAGAATTTTGTTTTTTTATATATATAAAAAAACATATTTAATACACATTTTAAAAAGCATATTTAATACACATTTTAAACTAAAATCTTTAAACTAAAATTTTAATTGTTTTGAATAAAAATAATTTACAATAACTATATGATAAGAAATTGTAACTTAAAAGTTTCTAGTTAATATCAGAAGCTCCAAGACACCAAACGGCATGATTTTATGATGCTAGAGAAACCGGCATGACCATATTATACGAGGGAAGGGTCCACACGGAAAAGTGCCAGAGAGGTAAAGATAGAACAGAAAATGCCATCCAGCTCCTGACGACTCTTTCATTGTTCGTTCACATGGCTCAAATTGGCCCCAAAAAGCTACAAGAGAACGTGGTGGTTGAAGGGGAGAGAGTCCAAATTTGTGTATGTTTTTGCTTTCAAGGCATTCGAAAGATTATCAAGATATTCAGAAAGTGGGGCTTGCTGTAGTGGGCACTAGGTGGTAAGCGGTGGAAATCGCATCCACAACACCCCTTTCCAAGAAAGATCACCAGCTAATCATTACCAGTCACTGAAAAATGTTACGAAAACAGCACGTTGACAGTACATATTTCCAAAGACTTTTGGAAGAATTGCAGTGAAGTTGCTGTTTTCGTTCCTAAATATCTGAAGCAGAAACTATGTTCTTCCAAGTGGGGTCATATTTAACAGACAAAAATCGAACTTACAGTCTTCCATCCCCACTTGCTTCTGACAGCTCTTGATCCTGACTCTCTTTGGTGGCACTGAGGAGAAAATTACCACCAAGTGGAAATCCCAATTAAAATCACATGCATTGCACTGATGCTGCAAATACTATGAGCTTCAGAACAGCATTCTTTTAGTGGGATAAGAATAAAAATTTGCATAGCAATGTGCTATACCAAGCATGCATTGATGATTTGCAGAGGAAAAGACACGATTTAATCCTTCGAAAATAGCATGCAGTAGGCACTCATTCATGGTAATTTCCATCAGAAATACTTACCTTAGCCAAGCATTGCGCCCACATCTGATATTTAGACAGCCAAATCAAAGATTTCCTACAGTCAAATTATATGATAAGGTGTCAGCAATTCATCACCAAGAAAGGAGAGAGAGAGAGTAAACTTTAAAGCAGAAGTTTATTGATGAACAGAGCTAACATCAGTTAACAACACTATAATACAAAGAATGAAAAGCAGAGGAGTTAGGACCATGTTCTGTCTACAGGCACACACTTTAGTTCTCCCCTTGCTGTTTAGATAGAAGATAAGACTGTTTTTTAGACCATAGAGAGAAGACAACTGGAAAACCAAGCCCAGAAAGACAACCAACAAGATGATCTAACCTGAAATATCCTGGTGGAGATTGAGGGTATGATGAAACCTGAGCAATCAACTTGGTCTTAGGAATTAGTATAGGAATTAATCAAGTACTAATCATCTCAACAATGGTATTTTATTTTGTTTTACTACTCCCAAGTAAAATTTCTGGGAAATGAATTTTAAAAATTGATTGTTTTAGCTCAGCTTTTTTCTTGTAATTCATTAATTTGAGTTGGTATGAAATAGAATGGAGAGTTTTAAAGCTTTTTTGAAGGTTATGGAGCCTAGGCTTTTCTTCTCTCTTTTCATCTCCCTAAATTCTTGACTTGTAAAAGGCTTTAAAAAAATACCTCAAATTGCTATTCACGCAAGGTAACTTTTATTAATTAAAAACAATAATACACAGAGATCTTCCAAAATGTTTCACAGCCTTATTCCCCCAACAAGGCCTTCTAAAACAAAAAACAAAAAACCAAAGCTGAAAACATCAAACTCTAACAGTATTCATTTGTGGAATTTCTCATCCTGCCGAAATATCAACAACAAAATGCTTGCATCAAATTGGTCATATCTACATGACAGAACAAAATGCACAGGCAGAACCACACAATTGAAGGGCTTCAATACTCAAAAACATCGACAGGATAATGTTCAATCTCAGACACCAGGAACCATCAAAGCAATCATTTGGCACTAGGGGGCAATGAGTCTAAAATAGCAGTTATCTTCTTCTGTAACTCTGGCTTGTTGGCTCCCACAAGCTTGTCCAGCTGCTGCCCATCTCGAAGGAAGAAGAAAGTAGGAGTAGCTTTGATCTCCCATGAAGCACTGAAGTCCTGCAAACACACATAGCAACACACTAATTTTAACCATCATCCAGTTCAACATATTCCGCTGTAAACAAAACTTGTAGCCATATCAATATATGGCAAATTTCAAAATCAGGATTGAATTTCTTTTCTTTTCTTTTTTCATTTATATGACTTTTTATTCAATATCTATTGTGAAGACTGTACAATAAGTCGAGAGAGAGAGGGAGGGTGCATATCATGCAACTAAAAGGATAGTTACGACAGTCCAACCTATGTACATGAATGACGAGAGAAATTGGGATATCAGGAAGCTCGAATATAATTTACAACTTACAGATAGTTCATCAACATCAATCAACAAGAACATTAGAGAAGGGTAGTTTTCCGATAGCTCAATGTAGTATGGTGCAATCTGTTTACAAGGACCACACCATCTTGCACTGAAATTTGCGAGCACCTGTTAAACATCCATATTCAGTTCAAAATGAAAACAGATTACTAAAACACACCAGACAGTAGATCAAATAAATTTTACATGAAGTCAGCTACAAAGCCAACCAACATGGTTGCATTGTATACGCTGCATAATGAGAGCTGTGGGAAATTTTAGGGTGTAGGGTGCATCTATTTGATGGAGACATCACACCATGGTTTACATGTCCGTATGATCTTTTAATGATTCTATTAATGATGAAGGATAGCTGAACTTTTGTGTTATTAGATTTTATTTAGATTTATTTATTGGGCTTAATTTAACTATTGTTTGATATTTTATTTGTGGGCTCTAAGTCCAATTATTTATTCTAGTTAGGTTTTAATATTTATATCTTATTCATCTAAATGTATTGTTTGATATTTTATTTGTGGGCTCTAAATCCAATTATTTATTCTAGTTAGGTTTTACTATTTATATCTTATTTATCTAAATGTTAGACCTCTCCTTTTTAATACAAATCACTGTTTCCAAAAAATCTAAATGTTACACAGTTTTTGATGAATTAAATAAAAATTACGAAGTTATACATTTTCTCAACCCACATTCTTCTCTTCTTCAGCTTCTTTTTTTAGGTTTTTTTTTTTTAAGCTTTAAATCTCTTTTGTTTCACAACAGTTTTGGTATCAGAGCATATTCTTTTAATTGTTCTCAAAATTAAACTATCTATGGACTTGTTTAAATCCTAGATTTTAAGGAAGCTTTCATCAATAGTGATAAAAAAAAATCACCACGCCACCAGCAAAGTGTGGCAACAGACCGAACCAACAGCAGACCATCCAACATCCACCAGCAGCCACAGCAACAAGAGTCCAGACACGAACCAATAATTCAGCAACTTTGCCACACCAGCCGTCGCACAACAGTCTTTGAGAAGAGAAGATAGCAGCGTATTAGAAAGGCGAGGAGAGGACAAAACTGCAGCAGCACTATGACAAATGTTTCCCTCTCGTTGATCTGTTGAAGTCAAAAGGCAGCAACACTATAGATCTTCCTTTTTGACACATCAAAATTAGCAGCAACACTATCTATTAAAGAAGATAGATCTTTCTTTAACACGTCAAGATTGGGAGAGAGAGACGTGGAAGAGGATGAGATTTCGTGACAGTTTATTGCCAAATTCCACAATTTACTTTACTGCCTATTTCTATAGCATTTTTTTATTTAGTTGTAATTTTTATTTATATTAGTTTAAAAGAAAAGGAAAAAAGAAAACAGTGACAAACAAATATAAAAACATGTGGTCAGAAGAAGGGAAAAAAAAGTGAAAAGTGACTGTAAAAAAACAAAAGAAAGAGAGAAAAATAGGGGGAAAAGAAAACAGTGACAAACAAATATAAAAAAATGTGGTCAGAAGAAGGGGAAAAAAAGTGAAAAGTGACTGTAAAAAAAAAAAGAAAGAGAGAAAAATAGGGGGGAAAGTGAAAGTAGCAAAAGGATATTTTTCAGGACATCAACGGCAGCTCACATGATCCAAATAGTTTATCGTCAATATTAAGTAATTTGATCGGTAAATTACTTAACTATTTGATTCATTGAATTTTATTTATCTGGAAATACACTTTTTACATTCTTTTGTGCCTTAAAAAAATAAAAATGAAAAATATCATCTTGCATTATATTCTTACACTTTGCTCACTTTATATTTTGTTATTCAAATTTTGTCACAAGATTTTTCATTACATATAGAGCTTATCGTAACTAGTAAAAAGTCATGATCTTTATTTGATTAATCATTTTATACTCAAGGATCTAACATTGCATGCTTAAAACTTTTCTTGTGTTTTTTTATTCTTGATTGATCTCCACGTAAAAAAAAAAAGAATTAGCTTTATTTATTTATTTATTATTATTTCACTTGTAGAAATCTTATGTGATCTTAATTTCATTTCTAAATTAGTATTGCATGTATTTGTATCATGATCATATAGTGTCCAAACTTAAATCTGCACTTACCGTGAACTCGACCATAATGATACTCTTAGAGCCATTTGAGGAGAAATGCAAGATAACTGACATGTTTAAAAGAATTAAACTCTCAAAGAGTTCTCGAACAAGACACTAAAAGACTAATAAATATTATAAGAATAACTATTATAAACAAGTTCACCCTAAGCATCACTCATATGACAATTATTTAGGTTACTTTAAATATAATAACTTTGATGAGCAAGTAATGAGCCCCGACAAAATAAAAACCCCCACTTTTGAAGATCATCATGACCCTTGGATCTTTGATAAGTAGATTCGTGACATGGATCAATTTTTTGAGTGGCATAACTTGTTTGATAATAAAAGAGTACTTTGCATGGATTTTATAAAAGTTTGATGATTTTAGAAAAAAAGTTAGGCTCACATGTTTTCACTTTTGACCAAATCTATACCGTATTGCAAGATTATGAGTTGTTTATAAAAAGTAAAGGATAAAATATCAAGACCCCATAGCACCATTTTTAAATCTCAATTTAAAAATTATGATTCTTTGTTAGGTACTCCATCATATAAACTTAATCCTAGTAGTGCCTAAATTTATAAAGATAAGGAAAAAACAAATGGTTAATGAAATGTTTAGGATGAGTTCAGAGATTTATTGTGATAAATGTCAAGATTTAAATCATATCTTTTTCACCTGCACATTTAAACCTTTAGCCATCCAAAAACATAAGCATATAGGTGAAAAGAAAAACTATTACATCTAAATGTATGAACTCAATCCTAAGGAATTTAAAGATCTAGATGAAGAGGATGTGAAAGAAGGAACTTAACACTAAAAGTCTAAAGGAGTCTGAAAATGAGGTTAATAAAGAATATAATAACTCTACTTTAGTGATAGAGAAAGGAGTTTTTAGTGAAATTGCCCGAATAGGTAAATATGATCTTAAAAGAATCTCATGATATTAGTCCTCTTAAACTATTTGATTCTCTACCCACCATGCTTGATGTCTCGCACGTCAAAGGTTTAGAGCAACATGCTCCTCACCCCCCTCATGCTTGACATCCAACACATCATCCAACATATCATGGGTTTAGAGCAATATGTTGAGCTCCATGATCCCTTACACCTGGTATGTGATGAGAAAGATGAAGATAATCATAATTTAATATGTTATATCCAAATCATATTTACCAAGACTTCAAATATCTGATTCGGATGAGTCTTTAACATATTGAGTTCATAATTTACATATTGAGATCATAAAACAAATTCAAGCAAGTAATGAACAATACAAATTTCAAGCTAATTTACATAAATATCATGATGCACTTAATATTAGAGATTATTTTATGATACAAATTAAAACTAAACAATGTTCACTGGAAACCAATCTTAAGTTTTAAGCGAGCAGTGTTAGACCATTAAAGCGTTGCAAATAATTGAATCAAATAGTTATGTTATTAAACTACCACTAAACTTTGATGATAACTATACTTTTGTCATGATGGATCTTGTTATATATATATATAACACAATTTATCTTTGATGATCCTTTTGAAAACCTTACTTCATTAACCTTATCTTTGGCACAAAAAAAAATAAGAAAAACATATTAACACTACTTTGGAAGCACTAGTTGTTTTTACCAAGGACAATGAATTTCAACAATTCTCAAAATGAGTTAGTAGACCAAATTCAAATTATACTCAGATTACCAAGGAGACATCATAACAGCTTGATCCTTATTTTTAAAAGTGTTATTGGAGCCGCCATAAACTATACTCGACATGGTCAAGTTCTTCCAACCTTGAGAGAGTTGATAGGAACATCAGACCCGAGACATGGTTCACACAAGTTTTATGATGATGGACAATAGTCAAACCCTTGTGTTATTGGATTTTATTTAGGTTTATTTAGAGAGCTTAATTTAACTATTATTTGATATTTTATTTAGTGCGCTATAAGCCCAATTGTTTGTTTTAGAATTTTAGTATTTATATCCTATTTATTTAAATGTTAGATATTTTTTTATAAATTAAATAAAAATTGCATAAGACTTTTATTAACCCACATCCTTCTCTTTTTCAGCTTCTTTGGCTCTTTATATCTGAGGTTCTTCTTTCTTTTATTTTAAGCTTTAAATCTTTTATATCCCACATCAGTACTATTTCGTCTCCGTTGGTTCTCAATAAGATATTCGCTAACCTCAAGTTATAATTCTTAGTTAAAAGACATTAATGAATATTGTAAAAAAAGGATAATGGAAGGAAAAAAATTCCCGTGGATGGATAGAAGTCAAACTTACAATTTTGCCATCCCTGCTTGCTTCTGACAGCTTCTGATCCCATCCCTCTTTTGTGGTAATGAGGTGCACATTACCACCAGTGAGCTCGATATGCGGCTCATCATCATCCGCATCATGGTTGCGCTGCAAATAGCATGAACACTCAGAACTCTGTCCTTACATGACTTCCACAAGATAAGAATAAAACATGAATATGAGTGCATAATAGCAAGTGCGCATTGACATTTACATAGGACAAACATGGAAGCCTAAAAGATAACCAGGGAATAACAACATAACGAGTCAGCTATATCTCTATATACAGAAGGAGTCCATTTCAGAAAAAATATTTAGCCAAGAGAATTGATTCTTTTTTTTTATTCTTTATTTCAAACAGAGTAGAATGCAAATTTCTATCCACAAGTTTAATATTTAAAGTTGAAAAGTCTCTGTTATTGTTTTACTAGTTTTTAAGTGGTTAAGCGAGTTCATTATTCTTTGCTTTAGCAGCACTATCCTCTCTAAAACAATAGGTAAAAATATAGTTCGCCTTTGTGGCTTGACTCTTCACTGGCTACTTTAAAGGTTTTTAATTGTGACTGCAACATTTTTTGGACAGATGATACATATTCGTGTTACATATTCTGTTGACATCTCAATTAAAACTGCTAGTGATGTGAAACTTGTTATAACTATACATGATGTCTCTTCCTGAATGCATAATGCATCTGACACAGACTTGCACCATTTTAACCTGGAAATTTTCTAGAAGCAATCAATCAATGACTCGACGACATTGTATCCATCTTAGTCTTCACCATCTTTTCCAGGCCGCAAATAAAAATCACATCAGCTGGGGAGCCTTTACTGAGAATCTGAGTAAACTTACCGCTAAAAGGTTCCTCTTTTCCTAACTGACTACCATGGAAAAAAATAATATTAAAAATCAGACGAGTAGTCTCCTGGACAATGTTACTCCTGAAACTAATCCCAGAACCCATGATCTCCTATCAAAGATAACAAGTTTGTAAGTCTCTAGCTTAAAAGTACTATAATTGCTTAGGTTGTCTCAATTTCCCATGAAAATGTGTTTTTCAGTAATTAGATACTTTCAGCCACGTTATATCCCATGTTACCAACTACTTTAAGATCAGCCTCGGGAATCCTTTTCTGCAGTATCATACCAGCCAAGGCCCTAATCTTCATTTAATCATAATTCAATACTAACTTCTGCTGCAGTCTTACAAACTACTATTTTGATAATTTCTCCATTCTAAACTATTCACAGTCCATTCAAGAGAACTAGATTCCATTGATAAGCATGATCTTTTCCAAAGTAAATTTTCCTTGTTATTGTGAAAGCAATATGAAGACAACAATATACCTAAATCCACATGGAATCTTACACAGAAACCACGACACCAAGCGGGCATTGGTGATTCATGATGGACGGGGTACAATTTGATTCCTGGGAACAGTGCAATAACATGAAGTGGAAACCTTAAGAATAGGTGGGGAGTATGCCATGGAGTCAGCTAAATCTACATTTCAAGGAGTCCATTAAAATACTAAGCCAAACAAACTGATTCAGTGTTCTTTACAAAATTGAATAGATTCATTAGGGTGCCACCAATAGAACATAACAAAATTGACAGATTTGGTTATTGTATAACAAAAAAAAATAAAAATGCAGAATTCGATCCCAAGTTTCCTATTCAAAGTTGAAAAGATTTTGATAACATTTTAAGAATTTCAGAGGGTTGAGAGAGTTTGCTATTCTTCATGTTAATAACATTTATCCTTGCACGGCAAATCCCTTCTGTGGCTTCACTGGCCACCCACAAACCATTAACAAAATCCTTAACTATTATTGTCATGTTTTTAGGACATATAATAACAGTATGTTTTTTTCGCATATGCAGTTGATTTATCTTAACCAAAACTACAAATGATGAGAAGCTTGTGATGGTTTTAGGACATATGATAACAGTATGTTTCTCTTAGTCGATGCATAACCATGAAAATGATACAGAATTCCACTATTCTTGGAACTTTTCTACATGTAATAAAATGACAATAACAATGTTGTATTTATTGCATATCCTCTTTTTTTCATTATTTTTTCATGCATATCAGCTGGTGAGCCACCCCCCCCCAATCAATAAACTTCCATTTTACGACTGTCTAGTAATTTTTTTTCCATTTGCAGTATCTAAAAACAAGAAAAACAATAAGAAAACTGAATTCCAAGTTTCCCCATACACAAAAAAAAAAGAGTAATCGGTTGCAATTATATGTAAGAAGATAAAATAATTAATTTCCATAGAAACTCTTACCTTAGCCAAGCAAAGTCCCATATCTGATTTCCAGACTTTAAACCCAAGCAGATTGATGTAATGTCCCAATTACCCTGAAAATGGAACGAAATCCAAAATCTTCAACACGCCTAAAGAAAAACCACTAAAATGCATATTGTTCTAAAAAATTCAAAGCAACACCAACAAAAAAAAAAAAAAAACAGTAAACTAAAAAGAATTCAACCACTTCAATTCAAAACTGTGAAGCAGAAGCCTCTAAATCATATCAGTAATATTAAATTTGGGTAGCAAGAAATGGGAAAAATCTTTCAAAACATTTCTCTTTAAATTACAATTAAGAACCAAAAGTAAGATCATTTACTTCAACAATCAGCATATTAAAACTCTCTTCTTTCAATAACATTAACAACACTATTCTTAAAAAGAAAAAAAATATAAAAATAGAAACAATGAAGCATAGAGAGAAATTAAGACAAGAAGGGGTTCATCAATTATGATTACCTTCTTCTTTAAGATTAAAACAAGGAGATTATGAACCCTAGTCTTGATTTGCTGAGTAATGAAGGGGAGAGAGAGAAGAAGAATGTTTTGCTGTCCACAGGTAGACAAAGGTTTGTGCTTTTTTCTGATTAAACTAATGAAAAGGAGAAAGAAATAACAAACAAAGGTGAGACATTCTTTGGTTGTTGGGTAATTGGAGTTGCTGCTTTGGTTTACTGTCTTAATATTTTGCTCTGTTTCTAATTTTAGAGAGGAGGTTGCACTGAAATTTATCACTTGCCGTAATGTCATTAAGTAAGTGTTCATGGTTATAGAAATGATTATTTTTTTATTTGAAAATATATAAAAATAAATAAACTTAATAAAAAAAGTATTTATAATATCAAATTATTAAAACAATTTAAAATTATTAAAATAAAAAAATTCAAATAAAAAAACTCAAAAATATTTTTTGAATGTAAAAATAAACAAACTTAATTTAGCTATTATCATAGTTTTTAAACTCAAATACTGAAAATAATTTTAATAAATGTCACTGAAAACTTTGTTTTTAAAAAAATATTGATTAGAAAAATATAATTAATTTTTCAAACATAACCATAAAACCTACCTTAAAATACAAGAAAACTTACCTAAATATCGCCTCCCATTAAAAAAAAAAAGTAGATAAAGCTTGTCAAGATAAAAAAAAATATTGCATTGTTTCAAGTGAACTTTCTAGCAAGTTAGGGTTTTTGTTTTGAAATAAATGATTGTTAAATTATATATCCATAATTTTGAAAGTTAAATTTTGATGTTATCTTTAAAACCAAAAGATGCATCCTTTCAAAAAGAAACAACTCCATTTTAAATTGAGATTCCTATGCTGGATTTACATGCTCTTATTGGCAGGTATTTGGTCAGTTTGAAGATGTCATTTCTTTTGTTTTGTCTCTCGCCAAGCATCACAAATATCCTCCTAGATAGCTGTCAACAACAAGAGACAGCATAACTGGTATCTGAGAGGTAGTTAAATTTGCTAGCTGCAAGCAAGAGAAGAATGGCCGACAAGGTGAAGAACAAGAAGCTTGATTCTTCATGAGGTCGATGATGCCTCTCATTCATATTTCACAGGAATTCACTTCGAAGGTTTTCAGTTGGAGAGCAAAACTCCACCCTCCAGAACCTCGAACGGAATTTAACCCGGGTGACCCTTTTATCTGTGCCCCATAACAGGGTAAATGAAACAGAATCGCCGCGACAATGAAATCTCATTTTGATCTATTTAAACATTCAAAGAGACAAGCCTAAAGTGATTTAAGCTTTTCCTGCCTCCATTTCCTATAAGATAATCTTTCACATTCAATCCCAGTATTTTCACAATTAGGGCTGGTGAGCAAACATGGGTTGAGTGCTTTGTGTGTGTTTGTTCATGAGGTGCACTAAGCGATGCATCTCATAAACAAACAAACTTTTCCACAGCTGGATGTCAAAGCTTAAAAATAGAAGTGGACTGCCTCTTTCTATGTATACACTCTATGGACAACTCGCATAAAACAAATGGCCTGGCCTGGCTTTTACAATGGGCATACAAGGTAGGATACAGAAAAATAAATGAAATGAGATGCCCAAGGGGTAAACAGTTAAAAAAAGGCAGCAACAAAAAACGTCTAGATCAAAACGACATACTTTCCCTATATTATTTCCATGCAACCCCCAAATCATAGTTTGGAGCTGCACGAAATATCATTCATTCTTATGAAATTCAAACCCTCACAAAACCAACCCCAAAAGAGTAAACAGAACACGTTTCAACACATAACAATAAACGCAAGCCATTTATACATTGTTTCCATAACCTCAGCCCATGGCATACTTCTGTGTCCAACTGCGAGCAGTGGATTCATATTTGGCTCGGTCAGTCTTGTACATATGGGCAAGCTCTGGAACAAGAGGGTCATCAGGATTTGGATCAGTCAGCAATGAGCAAATGGAGAGCAGTACCTGATAAGCATCCATCAATTAGCAGTGATAATTAACAAATCTTTCTTTGACTGTGGTAGCATGGAAGTAAAGTACAGAGACTTCTGTGTTGGTTTCAAGATGAAATCTAAAGCCTCATGCTCACCCAACCAACCCACTGAACCATTCATTCTGCTTTGACAGCATTGATAAATTAAAGAAGAAGAAGAAGAGCCCTGTTTGATTTTTAGCAACAGAGAGCCTCACGTTCTTAATCTATGGAACATGCAGCCAAACCGTGTTTTATATCCTAAGAAACATTAACTGCAGGAGAACATTCAAGTTGCTAAACAGGAGAACAAGACACACACCATTGCTATCTACACAAACAAGCATAGACTGGCATGCAAATTTTACTGCCGTAACATTACACTTGATCATTTCAGAATAACATTCTAGATTCTTGATGGACACATTTTGCAGACAATAAACATGGATACAAATCTATAAGATGACAGACTCTTAGCAATAAGCATAACTAGTAACAATAAATTTGGAAGAGAGTGATGTGAATGCCTGTATTCTTAAACTACTGCCACATAAACTATGTGATCACAAACTCTCCATTCATCCTAAACAGATGATAGTCTACAAACTTTACTCGAGCAAGCTAATGCTAGTAAAAAAACGAGAACTGCAGCACATTAACATGTTATCAGCATGTATTAACAGCGCAAAATGAAACCTTAGAAATGGTAAGAGCAGGACTCCACTGCTCTTTGAGGATATCAAGACAAATGCTTCCATTACTATTAATGTTGGGATGAAAGACCTTGGTCCTAAATGCAACCTGAAACGAGTGCAAAAAAAAAACATCATTATACCTCCGGGAAAAAATAAAAAGGGCGCGCACACACAACCAAACAAAACAAAGCCTTTTTATCTAACCACAAACACAAGTCAAAATCTGGAATTGCTCCATTGACAGCAAAGCAAATTACCTTTGGAGGCTTGAAAGGATAATCAGGAGGGAAATGGATGGTTACTAGAAACACCCCACCTGCATAAGGACTATCAGCAGGTCCCATTATTGTTGCTTGCCAGTGAAACATATCTTCAGCTACAGGACCTATATATCCAACAAAACCCAGGATTTACCAACCTCCAGATTTGAACAATCCCAGATAAAACTAATCATCCATTGCAAAAAAGAGTTCGAGCAGAGTGGGCTTAAAGCCACAACCAAGCACAGTGAAGTTCACATAAAAAAAAGGGAAAAAAGCAGAAAACTGAAATCTTGCCAAATCAGAATAAATAGAGAGCTGGGCTTTCAGAAATCTTTTTTAAAAAAAATTGCACACCTGCACTGCAAGAAGTAGGTGGATCCTTCTGTAAATCCTTGAGCTCCTTCAAGATACGCTTTGCAGCCATTATTTTTACCTCTCTTATTCACCTTTTTAAAAACAAAAGAGAAAAAAAGAGTTACAAACAGCAGAAAACAAACGAAAAAAGAAAAGAAAAAGAAAGAGTACCCGAAGATGAGTGATGGAAGGGGAAATCTGCGATCTGGAAATAAGTTGACGGTGGACCAACACAACCGCTGATTTCCCACTCCCTTGTTATCTGCTAGACAAAGAGGTAGCCGCGGAGGAGGAGGAGGAGGGTCTGCTTTTGTTTTTTTGTCGGAATCTCCTTTTATTGTGTATTAAGGGTCTGTTTGGCGGTGCTAAAATAAAAATCATGCCACCTTTTTAGTGTTTTTCCTCCGTATGGTCTTATTCTTTAGGGTTAAATAAATCTTTGTCCTTGTAAATTTATTAACGTTACACTTCGACTCTCGTCGTTTAAAATTTATTAATTACTATTATGATTTTAGGGTTTATTTGGCAATACGGCGGGAAATTAAAAGGGTGGTGTCGATAAAAAAATAAAAAAACCTCCAAGAGTAGAAACTGGATTCTTCCTCGTTGAGCCAATACCTTGCTTGCTTGAGGAACGACTAGATGGGGGTAGCCTGCGGTTGAGTTGATTTTTTTCTTGACTTGAAAAAATAATGTTAAAGGCATGCAACCATGTTTTAAAGCAAACAAAAATTTTCTGACTCAAGTTACAGGCACAATGAAGATGAAAGAAATCTAAGATGTAAAAAAAAACATCAATATCAACAACAGCTAATGATATACACGTCATCCATGCTTAAGATAAGGTTGACAGCATAAAAAAAAAAAAAGGTAACAAAACCCAATTCTCCAAAATTTAATGATGAAGCTGAAAAATCATTTTTTTAAAAATAAAATAAAATTAAAAAAATTAAATATAAAAATGATGAAAAACTTTAAATTAATCCAAACTAATACTTGACCTTAATACCAAGTTATCATCATAAAAAATAAAATAATGCTTCTTTAATAAATTTAATATTAAATTATTAAATCAAAAAATAAAATTATTTGACATAATTTTAAAATGATTAACTAACTTATATTTTATTTTGCATTGTAGTTTAATTTTATTTTTAAAGAATTTTATTTTAAAATTTAAATTTTTGTAATTATTTTAATATGTTAATTATTTAAAAAATAAAAATAAAAATCTTCTAGTTCACTCAAAACCTAACCCGTTTAAAAGTATAATTGTGATTGTTTTTTTAAATACCTTGCATTAGAAAATATATCAAAATAATTCAAAACCTAACCCGTTTAAAAGTATAATTATGATTGTTTTTTCAAATACTTTACATTAGACACGCTTTACATAATTTTGGACAGATAGCAGATGGGCAAACGCATGGAATTATAAACAAACGCGTAAATTATATTAATCTTGTATAAAAATAAAATTTAAAATAAAAAAATAAAAAATTAAATTATTTTTAAAATACTTTTAAAACACAAAAACAAAACACACCAAATTACTTATAAAAACTTCAGCTAAAACAGTTGGTTTTAACAAAAAAAAAAAAAAAAAAATCTTCTTCCAAACTACCTGTCTTGATATTAGAAAAAAAGGAATTTTATTACAGCTATGCACGAAATAAATACGAAGCTTGAGCAACAATGACAGCCACTTGATTTGCATACCTCTCTTTCATCAGCCACAAGAACATCTCTCCTCTTCTTATTCCATCAACGAAAAGAAACCGTTACCCGCTGAAAGACGACAAGTTTTCAGCTTTTTCACTCTCCTTGAGAAGAAGGCGGATTCTTCAGTGCATCAGTATGTATTAGAGATCATTGTATCCGATCTCTATCGAATTTACTGATTTTTTTTATTCAGATCTGATTGCAAGAAATGAAAGCGAGATCTTATATAATTAATTAATCAGTTATTTAATTTTGATCTGATTGCAGGTTTTCTTTAATTTATTAAAAATGGAGGAAGAGAAGAAGAAGAAGCGAAACAAGAAAAAGAAAAACAAACAGAACTATCATGGTAATAGTAATAGTAATCAAGCAGCGGAAGACGACGTGTCGGCTCATCATCACAACAACAACAACAACAATGGGCAGAATCATGGTAATGAGAATGATAATCAAGTAATAGAGGCATCTTCAAATGGTGATGCTGTGGATGTGGGGGATTTTAATACACATAATGATAAGCCCAATGGAGTAGCACCACAATCTGTAAGTTTTTTTCAATCCAATTCGTAATTTTTTTTGTGTTTGTCTTACTAGGTGGGTTTGATTTGTTCTAAGTTTATTATTGATAAATAAATGGAGAATTAACCACTTAGTTTAGTTAATAAAAAATGGAAAAAGAAAAAAAAGAGAGAGGAATTGTTAGATCTTATGTATGATTTGATTATTGATATGTTAGAGGTGAAAATTTTGTGTTTTTTTCATAAATTAAGTTAAGTTTTGATTAATAATGATAACCCGAGAATCGCATTGTCATTTGCTACACTTACTATGATAACTGTAGTTTTGATAGCAAGGGGTCTGGAAAAAAGTTTTTATATATGTGTTTATTGCACTGATTGGTTTGGGTCACTCAGATGAACGTTTTGGTTAATTCAATGTTAAGTGTGCGGGCATAGTATTACTGCTCTATTTTGTGTACGATTCTGGCCTTGAAGCTCCCCCTCCTTTGTTTTTTTTTTTTTGCTGGCTTTCAGTGTTGTGATTATAAGAATTAGAATTGGATCCGTGATTCTCTTGATTTGATGTGATTGTAAGAATTGGAACCATGATTCTCTTTATTTGATGTTGCGGGAACTTCTCATTATGTCAACAAATTCAAATTCAGAAGCCTGGCAGCTTGCTTAAATTTTTGTGGCTCTGTCTAATTTGTGAAATCATTATTATTCGGTTTTTTCTGTGGAAGATTTGTGGGAGTAGGGAAGATGTGACAAATTGTATTTTTTGTATCCCTTAATGTAAACTTCTGAGATTTTGGTTCATGGTGTATTTTAATGTTTTTGTTTATACTTTTTTTTGTCTTCTGCTAAGGAAAGATTGGATAATACGTGTGGCCATTTTCCAGTTGCTTTGTGTTTTCAGATTCTTCTTCATTTTGCTAGTTACATTTAGATTTTCTGTAGGATTGACTGCTGATAATGATCCCATCGTTTTAAAATTCTGTTTTGCAGTCCATCTTGGCTGAAGCAGAGAACCAGTGGTGGCTTCAAAGAGAGGTGACACATTCAGTCAGCTCGCTTTTCATTCTTAATTCTTTCCCTCTTCTCTCTATCATTTATTTACATAATCGGATATCTTTGTTTTTGACATTAGTTTTAAATAGGAAATTTTTTCTTTTCTTTTGTACAGGCTGCTTTACAAGATACAATCAAACATTTACAAAATGAAACCGATTCACTCATAAAGACACAGGTGTGGAAACCATGTGCATGCGTGCTTGTGCAAAAGACTCTTTCTGTTGTCATGTTGACATTTTTGCTTGTGCAAAAGACTCTTTCTGTTGTCATCTTGACTTTTTCTTCTTTTTTTTTTAATTTAAGAAGTAACTTACTGTGTTTCACAGGCTACCTTTGAAGAGACAATCAAAAAATTACAAGATGAAAATGAGTCACACATACAGAAAGAGGTATTTTGAGGTTAATCTAACTGTGGGAATGTACTTGTGAAAATTTTCTGAATTACTTCACACATTTTGTATTGTAATATTGAATTAGTTTCTTTGTATTAACATTTATGCAAAGCATGAAGAAACTCACTTCATTCTTTTTTAATTCATGCAAGAAGTAACTTAATGCATTTAACAGGTTACCTTTGAAGAGACAATCAAACAATTACAAGATGAAAATGATTCACGCATACAGAAAGAGGTAATATCAATGCATCTAATGGTGGGATGAAATGGATTAATGCCCTGAACTTCTAAGAGGCTAGTTTTTTCTACTTTTTGTTAATCATGTAAGTCGTGTCCTTGTTTGCAATAATTTTTTTGCAGGCTTCCTTAGAAGAAACAATCAATCAATTAAGAAGTGTAAACAATTCGTGCATAAAGAAAGAGGTAGTAAACTTGTTAGATAGATGGGGAAACGCACTTAGTTTATGTTTAGATAGGAAAATTATGTTGAGAAATGTATTATGTTTGGATAGGAAAATAGTGTTATCTCTCCTCTCTTTCAGTCATGTTACAAAAGTTCCAATCTTTTTGTTTGATATTTGTTGGGAAGAGGAAGTCACCTGACTATACCTTTTACAGGCTACCTTTGAAGATACAATCAAACAATTGAAAACTGAAAATGATTCGCACATGCAGAAAGAGGTGATATAAACAGGCAGCTAAATCTTTGTGAATTTCATGCTCAATGTACTTTTACATTCTGGTCTAAATGGATAATTTGCAGGCTGGTTTAGAGATGAAAATCATGCAATTGCAGAGAGAAAAAGATTTCTGGCTTCTGAAAGAGGTACTTTTGGTTTTATAGAAGCTTATAACAAAATCTTCTCTCATTTGCAACATTTAACACATTCAAGGGCATATCTCGTTAGCATGATAAGCCTTGGAACCATCATTGAAAAACCATGTTTAAATATGCAAGTTGACCATACCCAGCTTCTTATAAGATTGCCAGCTGTGTTTTCATCATAAGCATCAAACCATGGAATTTTAATACTGAATGCATGCAGTTTATAAGATGAGCTGTTAATTTATAGCCACATCAAATGCAGGCTGGCCTGGAGGAGAAACTTAATCGCTTACTGGATGAGAAGGCTGCTGTGGGTTTAAAAGTGGTATATTTCTTGCCTCACAAGCTTTTTTAATGAAACCAGATAAGAAAAGTTTAGATGATTGGCATCACACATTTCATTTTTGGTCTTTGGTTGTGCGCTCATGAGAAATATTGTTTGATAATTCCTTGGAAATTTTGTCTATATAGTTGAATAGCTTTGTGATATGTTCCACAGGCAAGCCTAGAGGAAAAAATTGGACAGTTAGATAATGAGAAAGATTCTTGGGCTGTATCAGAGGTACCTCTTGTTATGTGCATTGTGTTTGTGTTTTCCCCTGTTTTTTTTCCCTTCTCAAAGGATTTTGTTTGGTTAATTAGTGAGCTGAGCTCTGACATACCTGTTGGATACTGGGCTGTTTCATCTTGTATCATATGCATTCAAGTATGCAGGTGCTGGAATTGAAATGTGGTTGAGTGGAGATTTGTCCTTCTTTAACGTTTCTTGGGTTTTGGGATATCTAGACTACTAGATGATGTCTGCAGAAGGGCCTACCTTTTCCTATTATTTTTTTATTAAAAAAAAACAATGCAT